CGTCGAGGCCCGACTCCCCGTGTATGTCGGGCGCGTGGATCGCGGGCCGCTCGAGCGCCTTGCCCAGACCCACGTGCAGCGGGATCTCGTGCTGCTTGCCAATAGCCGTGAGCACCGAGGCGGCGTTTTGCGTCGTCTTTCTGTTACGCGGGGTTGTGAGTGAGGTTGGGCAAGTAAGGGGGACGGGGCGGGGGAGACGTACTCTACCGAGGCATTTCCAAAGACGGAGGAGATGCCGAGAAGCTTGAGTCTGGGGTGGTAGGCGGCCAGCAAGATGGCAAAAACGTCCTGTTTGAAAAAGGGAGCAAGTTGTGTTAGTACCACTGGGGGGACTAGGGCCCGGGTTGAGAAACGGGCTTGCGTTTAGCTCTCCGGCGTTGGCATCCCGGAGCAGGATTGCGACAAAACGGGAATCAGCGGGACCGGAAAAAAAGCTTACATCATGTCCAGGATCGCAATCCAGCCAAAGAGGGATTTGTTCCACCGTCATTCTGACAAACAGCTGGTTTAAACACGACAGCGCAAGTACGTCCTTTTGTTGTTACGGAATGAAAAACAAAAAGTACGCCTTTTCCTTTTTAAACTCTTGTCCCACTTTACGTTCTCGCGTAGCATCTAATGCCGATCAACCGCCCCTGTTCTGCACAGAAAGAACTCGTGAGGAGAAGTGTGTGTGTTGTGTGTTGTGAGAGAGAGAGAGTGAGAGAGCAAGGGAGAAAGAAGACACACAAAGGAAGGCCCGGGACCCAGCGGCGTTTTGATGTTCTGGGGTTCGTGTGTGCCTGTGTGGTGTGCGTGGAGAAGCGTACCAAAAAAAGGCCGGAAGTGGCCGGCCGGTTATTATGACGATGGGACAAGAAATGGGTTAATGGGTCCTCGGCCTCAACTCTGTGCGGGCGGGGGGAAGAGGCACGCGCCCGCCAAGGCTGACAACCAAGTCAGCGGGCGGGCCGCGGATCCGGCTTCGGCGGTGTCGGTTATGCAAAGGCGCGGCAAGCCGGGGCGGAACGGTCTGACTCCGAACAGCGGCAGGCACTTTAATTATCGGCATAGGGCTGCATGAGACCATAATTGGTCCTTTTCTTTTTGTTTCTTTTTTTCCTTTTTGGAATGCCACAACGCCGAAGCCGTTTCCAAGAAATACACCTATGCCCAAACGCCGTCCCAGTCCAATAATGTAGCTTCCCTATCTGTATATAAAAAAAATCACGATTTTCTCTGCTCCATGACCCTCAGCACATCCGCCGCACTATTCACGTCCCCCTTGCGCTTCCGGTTGCGCTTCCTCTTCTTGCCGCCCCGGGCACCGCCCTCGTCGCCGTCATCTTCCTCGCCCCACGCAGACAGCTTGATGTCGTGGTCGTCAAAGTCCTCCTCGTCCTCGTAGCGGCTCGTGCCGAAGCCCATGTCCATGTCCTCGGCGTCGCGGTCCACGTTTTCCAGTAACTTCTTGCGGCGCGCCTCGCCTGCTCTGGCCTTTTGCCTTGCCTCGTCGTCCGAGGCGGAGTCGTCGTCGCCGTCCTTGTTGAGCGGTCGCAGAGCGGCGGCGCGCTTGATGGCGGCCATCATGGCCGGGTCGGACATGGACGGCGTCTTGGTCTCCTGCTCGGAGAGGAGGCCCGTCTTGGAGCCCTGGAAGTAGTTTGTCGGGGCCTTGGGTCGCGGTGGTGGTGCCATGGAGCCGGCTGCCGTGGGGCTCTCCGGCTTGTCCGTGGTCTTCTCTTTTGCATTATCGTCAGAGACGGCATCGGAATCGGATCCGTCCATGCCAGCAAGTGGGTCGTAGTCGTCGCCCACGTCATCAAAGATGTCAACATCCTCGGGTTCAACGACGGGCTCCGTTTCGCGATACGGTTCCGGCACCTCCATGCCAAGAGGCGTCGCATCCTTGTCTGGCATGAGCAGCCCGTTGTCGGCGTCGGCCACCTTGTCGCCGGGATACACCTTGCGCACCTTGCGCTTCTCGTGACCATCTGCGTCTACAATAATCATGACCTCACGGCCTTTGCGGTCGCGCTCAATGCGTGTGCCAGGCTGCTGCTTGGCGCCAATCTTGCGGAAGCGGTCGCTCAATGCCGGCTCAGCCTGCGCCTTGGCCGCCGCTCGCGCAGCTTTGAATTCGGCCAGAATCTGGTTGCGGGTGCGCTTCTGGCCCGGGGCCAGGGCGACGGTAGACAACTGGCCCTTTTTCTTCTCCGTCTTGTCCTTTTCGATTGCCTGGACGTCCTTGCTTTCCAGTTGATCAAAAGCGTCGTCGACATCAACTTCCTCGTCTGGTGTAGCGTCGGCGTCTTTGCTCTTGCCCGAGTATACATCTTCACCTTGCCGCACTCGCTGGAGAAGCTTAAAGTCAAGCCCCTTGACCAGGTGTGTACTCTCCAGGTCACCACCAGCAATCTCGAATCGCAGTCGTTCGTAGGTCTCGGTGTCGATTTCTTCGTTCTTGAGGGATTCCTCTAGGGCTTTTAGCCGTTCAGCACGATCATCGGTAGCTTTGGCACTCTCTGTTTCTCGCTCTTTCGATCGATCAGTGTATCCAGCCGCCATTTTGACACCCCGCGGTACCGCGACCTTGAATTGTTTCGTCGGATTCGCTTTCTGGTTGCGCTGGGCCATTTGCTTGGCGAAAATGTCCTGTGAATTGCCCACGGCGCGCCTTTCTTTTGTAAGTACGGATAATAAGTCTTCGTAGTTTGTGAATTGCTGAACATACGGTGTCATGGGGATGCTGGCTCGTTGTCGCGATCCCAGGGACAAGCCTCCCGCAGAGCTGGCCGGCTGATTCGGCAAGGCATCAGTCCCTTGCGATGGCTTGGCCGATTTGGCCAGCAACATCTTTCGAAACTGTTCATTGTTCATTGCGCCGGCAGTCGAGGCTTCGTGCTGTGTCTGTCGACGGGTTACAAGCTGCTCATCCACTGTGAGCTTCGCTGCGGCCAGGTCACGGCAACGGCGAGGCAATTCGAGTCCTCCGAGGCCATTGTTATCATCATCATCATCATCATCATCATCATCATCATCATCATCATCTTCTTCGGCAGCGTCGTTCGCAATAGCCTCACGGAGCCACGAAGAGTTGAGAAAGTCGTACCGATTCGCACACATTTGGCCCACGATATAGTTATGAGAGAGTGACTGAGCACCGTTTTTTGCAGGAGGTATGGCTCACGCTTATCATTACTGCGTAGTGGCCCACTGTAAAACGCAAGGTGGACGCACTGAAGGCCACTGAAAGCTGCTGTTACAGCGTGCACCTCACTAAAGCCCCTCTAAAACAGCCACTGACGCCACAGGTTGGAGGCGCTCAACTTCCAAAGCAACACGCTGGAATTTGTACCTAATTTGTAACAGTCACGAGGTTCCGTGTCGATGCCGCGCTCGTCCTCTCCACTTTACGCGACTTCCTCTCATACACTTCACTTGGAACTTGCAATAAATCCATCATGTGCTTTGCTTCTTCCCGGGTGCGCTCACATTATTTATGCCGCTGATCCTCGTGGATATGCGACGGTAGTACAGCCCGGCGACTACGACATCACCTTTGCTTGACCATTTCCGAGCCATCCAGATCCTGCGCCATAGTGAGGCAGTGTGCCCTTCGCGTCACACCATGGGCAGCGTTCTGGACAAGAATTCCTCCATTGTGAGGAAGCGCATTGAAAGCCACACCTTTGAGGATGAAAATGGTGAAGAATACGAGGGCAGCAAGTTCCATGGCTTTGGAGACTACTTTCGCCGCAAAAAGCTGAAGCTCCAGAACAAGGATGCGGATACGAGAACCAATTCGGACAAGCCGCAGATATTCAAGGGTATCGTTGCGCATGTAACGGGCTATACACAGCCTCCCTTGCATGTGTATGTATCACGCCCTGCATGTTTACATCTCACTCATCCTTTGCAGTCTTCATCGCGACATTGTAGAGCATGGCGGAGGATTCTTGCAGTATCTTGACTCCAAGACTATGGCTACACATATCATCGCCTCTACGCTACCACCAAAGAAGAGCGTTGATTTCAGTCGCTATCGCATTGTGAAGCCGGCATGGATCACGGAATCCATCGCAGCCGGCAAGGTACTGCCCTGGAGCGACTATCGGGTGCTCGGTGAAGGCCCTCGTCAAAAGGTCCTCCGGTTGGATGGATCCAAGGGTCTTTCGCAAACCAGCCCAACAGCGAGACAGGGCTACCGAGAACAGACAGAGAATAGCTTCTACACCTCTCAGCTACGAGCCTCAGTTGCTGGCCAAGAAGCTATCGGCAAAGTAGAGACACCAGACCGCTTCGTGTCGAGCGAGGCAAACTCTACCGAGAGAGAGTCATCAAGCACTCTGAAATTAGCCGATTACACAACTCCGTCAACCGAGGTCGCCATTCCCGATTTTCCAGAGTTCAGCCCAGAAACAGACACGCCGACAAAAACCCTTGCCCAAAGAAATTCTACACATGTCAAGAAACCGCCCAAAGAATTTTCCGCGGACATGACCCCCGAAGAGCACAACGCCTGGTTACTGTCGGATCCTCGCCTGCGCGAATCCTCGTGCGCGAACCCAAATTTTTTGACCAAATTTTATGCCGAAAGTCGGCTTCACCATCTTTCAACCTGGAAAGCCGAGCTCAAGTCATCCATGCAACGCCTTGCCGTAGAGAAGGGTCTATCAGAAAAGAAGTTCAAGACACAAACTGGAGCAAGGCGCTACATTATGCACGTCGATTTTGACAGCTTTTTCTGCGCCGTCTCACTGAAAAAGTATCCCGAATACATGGACAAGCCTGTCGCCGTGGCACACGGAACGGGAAATGGTTCCGAGATTGCAAGCTGCAACTATCCTGCTAGGAGCCTCAACGTGAAGAATGGCATGTGGATGAAGCGCGCGATGGAGCTGTGCCCCGATCTCAAGGTTTTGCCGTATGACTTTCCAGCATACGAGGCCGCCAGTAAGGCCTTTTACGAAGCCATCATGACAGTTGGCGGAGTGGTACAGAGCGTGAGCATTGATGAAGCTCTGATTGACGCGACGGCTATCGTTCATCATGCTGCTGGCTCACAAGGAGTCGGTGTGGAAGAGGGCAGTGTTTGGAGAGAGCAAGAAAAGGTCGAAGCCCTTGCCGCGGATCTCCGACAGAAGATCAACGAACTGACAGGGTGCAACGTGTCAATTGGCATTGGTGGCAACATTTTGCAAGCCAAGGTGGCACTGCGAAAGGCCAAGCCAGCGGGGCAGTACCAGTTAAGGCCAGAGGAAGTTCTTGACTTCATTGGCGAGCTCAAGGTCGAGCAGTTGCCTGGGGTGTCCTATAGTATTGGAGGCAAGCTCGAAGAATTGGGCATCCGGTTTGTCAAAGACTTGCGCGACCTCTCCAAAGAAAGACTCACGTCGATCCTGGGTCCAAAAACCGGAGAAAGGCTCGCCGAGTATGCCCGCGGCATTGATCAAACTGAAGTAGGTGGCCAGCCGCCTCGGAAATCGGTGTCGGCTGAAGTCAGCTGGGGCATCCGCTTCATCACGCAACAAGAAGCTGAAGATTTTGTTCTCAACTTGTGCAAAGAATTGGAGCGGCGTCTGCTCAATGAACTAGTCAAAGGTCGCCATCTTACAGTAAAGATTATGCGCCGATCGCTAGATGCGCCACTGGACCCTGCCAAACATCTTGGTCATGGGAAGTGCGACACATTCAACAAGAGTGTTCCGTTTGGGGTCGGAACACACAATGCGCAGGTCATTGGCAAGGAAGCCATAGCAGTCTTGCGATCGTACAGATTTAGCCCTGGTGACTTGCGTGGCCTTGGTGTGCAGATGACCAAGCTTGAGTCGATCAAGCCAGGCACCACAGCATCCGACGGCAGCCAAAAGAGGCTGGAATTCACGACCTTTGTGAATCCCGCATCAGCAAAGAAGACGAGTGGCTTTGGGTCGATTGACGATGTTGATTCCCTACAACGACCCAGGTTTGTGGACAGGCGGGGCTCTAGTGATGATCCCATCACAGACGATCCCCTGACACCAAGGAAACCTAGAGTTCATCCCGCCATGGCACTTGCTAAAGCACGGGAGGACGACATACAAGCAAAGACTCCTCTGAACATTGGAGGTACCCAGTTTCTCATACCAAGCAACATTGATCCAACCGTGGTGGCCGAATTGCCAAACGACATTCGCAGTAGATTGATGGCGCAAAAATCCAGGTCCTCTACGCCCGGCCTTGACGCGCAGCCAAAGTCTCGATCAGAAAGTCCAGCCGCCATGGAATTTCTACCTTCACAAGTAGATGCTGAAGTCTTCAACGCGCTGCCAGACGACATGAGGGCGGAAGTGCTCGCCCAATACGGGCGTAAGCCACCGGCTCGGGTGTCTGTCAAGAAAGATTCTCAAATCCAGAGGAACCCATCTACCCCTACGAAGCGAGGGGGGCACAAGGGGGCGATAAACAAAGCGCAGAGGGAGCGAGACACCAAAGCCGGCGTGGTTCAGACGAGTTTCATGACGGAACCCATCGGCGACGGGTTTATGGATGATGTCGGAGAATTAGATCCACAGTTTCTGGCCGAGTTACCTGAAGACGTTCGAAGGGAAGTCGTGGCCGATCACAAAAGACAAAAGCTGGCGCAGCGATCCGGACTCGACGCGCCGTCGCGACGGCCAGCTCATGCGGAAGCATCCGGCAGCGCCCTCTTCCCCACTCGCCAACGCAAGATACAATTCCCCGCACGACCGCCGCGAGTCTCGTTTTCGAGCGCCGGCGTCCGCTCCACCGCGGAGATGAAGGACCTGCTCGATGCCTGGCACGCGGACACGCGCCGCGACGGCCCGCACCGGAGCGACCTGGACATTTTTGAAAAGTACATTGCGCGCGTGGTCGCCGAGGAGCGCGACATGGACAAGGCGGCGACGCTGGTCAAGTGGCTGGACGTGCTGGTGGAACAAGATGGCGACGGCGGTCGCGGCCGGGATGCGTGGCGGAAGAGCATGGCCGGGATCCAGGCGGTGCTGCAAGAGGCGTTGAGGAAGCGCGGCCTAGGGCCTGTATAATGATGTTTATGACTTGATACCATAGTGTAGAACTTGGAAATTTGTTTTGGAGTGTTGTATTATTTTGTATACTGGACTAGACTGTTGGTCCAAATATAACAGCCATCTTTTTATCCAAAAAGTCTATCCCTTGTAACCCGCAATCGCTCGCTTCTGTAAAGACGCACCAGAGAAGAAAAAAGCTCAGCTTTTTTGTAAATCAAATTCCCAGTAGCAACGCAGCCCGACCTTAAAAAAGCACCGCGAGATGGACGCACACGAGCGCCAACACGGCGCCGACGCCTAGCGCGGCACCACTGCGCTCCGCGCCCGACATACGGTACACGTTGAGCTTGAGGTGGCCGCCACAAGCCTGTGTCTTGTTCCCGGCGCAGGCAAAGTTGCACTCTGCATCGTCTAGTTTCTGCGCAATGCCGGCAATGTTTTGCGCGCACCAGCATTCCCTTTTTTCCATCCAGTTAGCACCCCTCTGCCCCCGACCTCGAGCGAAGCGAGGGAAAAAAAAAAAAAAAGAACGTACCGGGACCACTCGACGCCAGCGTAGCGGTACTTTGTGTCCCCGTCGTGGCAGAAGCGCAGACAGGCAGGCACCGTCATGTTGTCGGGCTGGACGAGGCTCGAGCCGCCGGCGAGGGCGCGCGTGCCGGCGGAGCCCTCGGCGAGGGTCGTCTCGTTGTAGCAGCCGTAGTAGGCGTAGGTGTGCGTGTCGTCGGTGTAGACGCGGAGCTGGTCGGCGGCGGCGACGAGGGGCGCGGCGGCGACGAGGAGATGGGGCCGCATCGGGGTATTATTTTGGGGGGGGGGGGGGTGTTTTTGCTGCTGGGAGATGAACGGCTGGATGGTTGGTGTTATTCCATCGGATTTGAATGTATCAAGGAGAGTTGATGAGTGAGATAAGGGGCGCCGCCGGGGGGGCGCGATATGGCATGAGAAAGTTTTGAGTGAGCAGAGTCGCGGCTGAAAGGTCCGAGCTCTTCTTTAGCGCGGCTGCGTTGTTGCCTCTTCTAGCCCCGAGGTGACATATGTATGCGCGGCGCCTCTTTCATCAGCGGGGGGGGTAAATGTTTGGACGACTTTGCGTCCCGGTTTATTTAGTGCCGTTGTTTTAAAGTATTCTAGCCCTTTTCAGAGCTTGGTGAATGACGACGACTTCAAGAAAACGGAGACGCGCTCTGAAGCGGCATGTCACAAACAGAAGCCATAGCTGGGCGCAATCGTAGTCTGCACTTGCGCGCAAATGCAAAGATTCGGATTTCTCCTTCATCTTGATCAACAAATCTTATACATTGCGCAGATTTCATATCACGCCTCCACCACTTACACGACCGACAACCCCCCCTGCCGCAGCGTCCAGCTTGCATCACCGCCCCACTTAAACACCAACCCTTTCACAACCACCCATGCTCCTGCTTTCTTCTGCGCAACCTCTTTCACTGTACTTACTTACATCCACTAATCTCACAACCGCGCGTACTCTACAAAAAAAGAATGGCCGGGCTAGTAAGCTACGCCAGCAGCAGCGACGACGAGAGCGCCGATGAGCAGCCTCGGGTGCAAGCGCCGTCAACCCAGGTACGGCTCTCACTTGCCCCCCCCCCCCCCCCGTCTTCTCTGCTCACCTCTTGTCGATAAGGCGCAAGAACCGTCAGAACCATCACAGGCAGTCGCGGTACCGCCTTCAGAACCGGTCGCAGCTCGTGAGTCCAATTGGAACTTGTCCAGACCGGACTTTTTTCATACGTCAGGAAGCTAACGATGTGGGGAGAAAAAGCTGTCCCCAAACCACCAACACCACAAGAGACATCCGCCCCCGGCGCCGCGCTTCCTCCTCCTGGTGCCGCACCTCTCGGCCCATCTCTGCCTCCCATGGGGCCCGCATCCGGCTGCACCTCGTCGCCCTCGTCGCCATACACGACGTCGCGGTCTCTGATCCACGACCTGACGCTGCCGTCGGTGCCGTGCCTGTCCATCCCGTCCTCGCCGCCGCCGCCGGCGACCCCTCTCGCCAGCTGCCTGGCAACGTCGCAGAAATTCGCGCATTTTCTCTCGCTCAAGCGACAGGGCACCCACTTCAACGCCAAGCTGTCGCAGTCGTCGGCGCTGCGCAACCCGGCGCTGACGGACAAGTTGCTGCAGTACGTCGACATGCCGCCGCCCGGTGCCGGGGGCGGCGGCGGGGGGAGGCTGCAGTATCAGACGACGCTGTCGGCCGCCGTCTGGGATCCAGCGGCCTTTCCGGCGTCGGCGTTTCGGGAGGCGCTGCGAAAGGGCAGGGACAGCGTCGCCAGGGACAAGGAGGCTCAGAGAACCGCGTGGGGGCGGACCAGTGTCGAGTTTGTCCCGGCAACGACGGCGCCGGCGGGAGGCGGGAAAGGAGACAGGCGAAAAGGTGGGTGGCAATAAGTACAGGGAGACTCGCAAGAGGGTCGGTGGCGGAAAGGAGCTTCTATGCAGCCAGATGCCAGCGACTGGACAGAACATAGACACTACATTTCAAGCCCATACATAATAAACACATTGGTGGCTATTGTATAAATCACTATTAATACTGAGCCATTCGGGCCCTAACTAGCTATCGAGGTATCTTGAATGCGCCGCTGCCCGGCAGCCGTCCATCAGGTCAAACGTGGGAGCGATGCCGCCCAACAATGTACAATCCCCTTACTCTAGGGGCAAGAAAAGCCTGGTTGTTCGTCGTCTCACGTCTCGTCTCGGTTCCTTTCGTTATCCAACATCATAAAGCAAACGTGCGCCGAGTGGAATCAAGGGTCCTTTCCAACTGAAGAACCCGAAAATTAGATACAAAGGTCACTTCTTCCCCTTCACACACGGTACATAATCTATTTAGTGGCACCCTTAGAGCACGTAACTGCGGCAGGGATGTTGGAACGGAAGAGTGTGTCGGTAATGTTGAGGCTGACAGTCTGGTTGGCGTGGGCCAGAGCATACTGGAAGTAAGGAATCTCGACGCCATCACGGGTGACATTGTTACCGATGAGGCTGAAGGAAGCGACACCAGTCTCGCAGTAGGGCTTGGCGCCGGAGGCGAGGACAATGATCTCGCCCTGGTTGAGGTTGCCGGTGACGTTGACCTTGTTGGTACCGGGAACGAGAGAGAGGTTGTCGATGTAGAGCTTTCCGAGGTTCACGCCGAGGAAGTAGTTATCGAAGACGGCGTTACCAATATCGAGTGAAAAGTGCGAGGGGTTGGGGAGCTCGGCCTGGGCGTAAAAGTTGCGGAAGTCGGGGACGGTGCCGTTGTCGACGGAGAGGTCGACGCGGGGGTTAATGACAGTCATGCCCTTGAAGAGGTTGAGACCCTTGACTTCGAGGATCTTGTGAAAAGTGACGTCGTACTTTTTGTTGAGGCCGTTGGGTTGGACCTTGGTCTGGCCCTTGACGCCAATCCTGAGCGTCTCGTTGTTGACGAACCAGGTGTTGAACTTGTTAAAGGCGTCGAGGTTTTGAATGACAATGTGCTGGTCGACGTTGACGACGGAGTACTTGTCGGCATTGGTAGGGGGGAAGTTGAGGACGGCAAAGGGGGTCTTGTCCTCGGTATCCTCGAGGTACATGTCGCCGGCAAAGGGGTCAATGTTGGCCTTGACGGTGCCATCGGTGGTGATGGTCGAGTTGATGGTCATCTGGTACGAGGTAGGGGTGGCATTGGTAATTTTGACGGCAACAATGTCCAGCTTGGCGTGGTTGATTTTGTCCTGGGCGATTCTGGGGATGGCGACGAAGATGCTGTAAGCGGCATGGTTAGCATGGGAATGGACCTTTTGAGTTTCTTGGCGGCTGGTCTAGACGGCACGCGCGCAAGCCAAGACGTGTGTGTGACAGGCTGGGGAAGTGGTTTAAACTTTGGACCATAGCGACGAGCGCCGGTAGGGCTGCTCGATTGGGGACCCCAGTTTCCATGGCAAACAGGAAAACAATTGCCGAAGAGAAGAGCAAATGGACAGGGAAGTAGGGACAACTCACGTCATCAAGATAACAAAGACGGCAACGAGGATGAAAATGATGAGATGCAGCCACCAGAAGCGCTGGCAATGGCGCTTGATGGCGCCCTTTTTGCCAACCGGGCGCGCGACGTGCTCAGTGGTCGAAACATCGTTCTTGTCCGACATGGTGAGGGAGGTTCCGAGCGTTGCGGTTGGTGTTGATGGAGAATTGGAGAAGGCGCTGCGATGGACGACGGCCTAGGGTCAAAACGACGGAGCGAGGGGAAGCGCGAAGATGGGAGGGGTCGAGAGACGAAGGACAGCAACGCCAACTGGAGAGGAAGAAAGAATGAGAGAGGAGAAAGGAAACGAAAGAAAGAAAGAGAAAAAAAAGGAGGGCGAGGGAGGGTAAAGAAGCAGATGATGATGGGACTACGGGCTAGTGTTTATAGTAAAGCCCATGTCGCGGGTTGTTTTAGCTTGTGAGCGAGTGCGGTAGACGACGCAGAGGAGGGAGCTGTGGATTGGATGTACATGAATTGGCAGCTGCGAGAGCATGCATGGACCCTGGCATCCTGGGGCTCTTCTCGGCGCTGCTCTCTGCCCCACAGCCTACAGGGCGACTTTGCCAGATGTTTTTTTTTCTTTCTCTTCTATTCGTACGGCGCTCTTGGCTTGCTGAGTGCTGTGTACCTACATACCTCCATCTCGTGGCTGTCTACTAACTACTAGTAGTGTAAATTAGGACGGCCAAGCACACCAGACTCGGCGAGCTCGGTGTGCGTGGCGAGTTTCTGGTAACTAGTGGCCATCACTGATGTTTTTGCTCGTCGTCCGTTTGAACAAGTAATTACAGGCCCGACTACCACAATCGCGGCAATACAGGTTCTCGACAATGGCCCCCTCCAAACGCAACCCAACATTGCACAATCGTCCAACCCACCGCGCGATGTCTGACCAAAAAGTCTGAAAGCAAAAAAATAAAAATAAAAATAAAAATAAAACAAGCTAACAACATCGGCCCAAAGCCACCACGCTCTTTTGGTCCATTTGGCCCGTGGTGGTGTCCGCTAGCGCCATTGCTAGAGCGGCCATGATTGCCCTGCAATTAGAGCCGCCTAACCAGTTGCCAAGAGCGCTCCAGCTTTTGCTCACAGAAAAGCCCACTCCTCCCCAGACTCGCCCCCGCTGCAAACACAGATGTTGCCAAGAGGGGCCTCTTATTAGTGGCCAAGAAGTCATAATGGTTTTTCTGCAGAACAGCTTCCTCCATGCAGTCACAAGGGTCAGCGAGAATGTCTTGTCTGGCGCACACTAAAAATCGGCGGGCGCGGCGGGCGCGCGGCGTGTGGTACGCCTCGGCTCCTTTGCTTCGACCACACATGTGAAATCTAGCCCATGCTGGGCCCTAGTTACACGCGGCCATTATCATCATCATCATCATCATCATCATCATCCTCGTCGTCACGACATGTTGTTACGAAGAAACCGAATGCTGTGCCCAACAAAAAATACATGTACCCCCCAATTCACCCGCAGTGGATGCGATAACCACTGCGCTATAATGTGGTCCCCCAAAGAAGACGAAAACTCTGACTGGCCCTCTCACCCGTCACCTTACCCAGAATCTCTCTCCTTTCCCCCCTTGGGAAGAGCAAAAAGCTGCAAGGAGGGCCGAATATGCGTTGGCCACTGAGAGGGCATCCGGCCCCTCCGAGTTCCAGGCCACCCATTTCCTCTCGTTCACCTGTAAAATTATTAAAATTATAGCACTAGACAGCAGCACGCGACCACAAGCCGACGCCACCCGCCCCTACTATCCACGCAACTATATTCCGTCTGGAAATATGTCCGGAGTCGTAGTTACCCAGCCCTTTTTTGACTCGGGGCTTGTGTCGCCACACGCAGCATTGTACACCAAACGCAGAGCCTCAATGGCCCTCCATTTACTTATTAGCAAAGGCGCTGTTTATATTGCAGATGTGTGGGTCAGAAATCAACATCTGCAGCCCCCCTGACTGCAAGCAACATACGACTTGCTGCAATCCATCGTAATCTCTGGCCAATTGCCAAGGACACTCGAACCATATCGCGGAGAGGGTTGTGTAATATTCCCCAGGATTTTCATGTTGCGTAATCTCACCCGACTTGGGCCTATTGCCACCTGACGGGCTAGTTGACAAGGCTGCGTACCTATGGTACAAAGTGACTAGGTACCGAGTACGTATGTCCAACAACATCGGGAGCGCTGGCCCGAACTATTCTCGGCTGTCAATGCACGGACTTGGTAGTTATGAATTTGCTTCTGATTCTGATCCAATGCATCCATTTTATCCAACCGTTGCTCCTTTACCAACCCCGGTTCCCGGTCCCGACTCCAGCTAGGTCCCGTCACTTCCCACTGAACTTACTCTTGACTGGGCTTCACTCTTCCACTGACAGTCCATCCATCACCAATGGCATACCAGTATTCACGCCAAAACTCTAAGCATTGTCCATCTCACGCTCCTTGCAAGGCTGCCAATCATACAATGACGGCCCCAGGCAAAAAAGGCTCGCCTACCCCGCCGCACATCGACGTCGATCAGACAACGCCTTTGCACACCATAAACTCTGTTCGACGTCTCCAAGCCCCTCGAGTCCCTGCATCCTGGACCATTGTCCCAAAGGCAATTCGCCTCGCCCCTCTAATGAGAACGCCTGGCAATGATACCCTCGGCCCGCCAAGCTAAATGCGACGCGACCCGAAATTGGCGCAAGCAATGATAACTAATAGTGATAGTGACCAGCCAGTGGCAGTCGTCAACTGTCTACGTAGTACAATCGACAAATTCATGCTGGCTGTTTCATGCCCGTCTCAATGGTCGGCAAGTCGCTCGCTACGTCATCAGCTTCCGACGCTTGGACGCGAGGTCTTTGCTAATAATTAATTAACCACGTCTGGCTTGAGATCTGCCCATGCCACCAAAAAGCCACGCGGCGACCGCCACGATGCCATGTACCTGAGGGTACAGATCATGTACCTCTAGCCGTCATCAGCCGCTTCGTCGCCTCCCAAGTGTCCCGACAATCATTATAGCACACCAACAGTGACAGGCGACAACCTCGCTTGACAATAGGCCGACCAAGACTTGGTTGGTGCACACTGTGGGCAACGTGTGCTTGATCTCTTTAATAATTATTGTCATAGGCTACTAGGCAGTCCTGAGAAACCGCAACGCATACTCATCGCTCTATAAAAGACGGCCAAAGACGCTTCTTCCTCGCCATCCTGTTTGTAAAGGAAGGCACCATCTCCGTGGAGAAATCCCATGGCCAGTGTACGCTGAAATCCATCTGATTCTTGCAGTGGTAAAACATAATTGTGTTAAAGACTTGCCATTCGTTAGCACGGAGGAGGTATGATATCAGTCAGTAAGAGATCCAGGGCGGCGCGGGCCGTCAGTCTGTCTGTCGGGCGAAACCTCATCAGCCCCTGAATGACGTCCAGCAGTGGCGCCAGCTCCTCTTCTGGCACCTCTTCTCTGAACTTGGTGACGAGAGTGGGTTTTGGGGGGGGTTCTGTACAAAGTTAATTACTATTTGAAGACGGGACTGAAGTCAAGAAAGTAGCGTAGGCAACTCACCATGTACAAATGAACAGCTGGCTTGAAGTGTCTGCCAAGCTCCCTCCCACTCAGGTGGCAGTAATCCAACAAAGTCAATCATTTCTGCTCCCAGAACTACGTCATCCTGACACGGCTCAATCGGGTACCTCAGAAATAGAAGCGCGTAAATCTAGTATTCATTAGCAAGGAATTTTCACATAGTGCACGTACTGGCTCACGACGCAACCTAGCTGCCAGAGATCGGCTCTCTAGTCAGTCTCGCCGGCAAACACCATCTCCGGCACGCGCAGGCTGCACGGGTTTTTAAGGGTACCCGGGACGACGGCGAATTTAAACGATGCACCAAAGTCGAGAAAGGAAATAATCTCGTTAAACTCGTCGTTCCAACTACGCCACCGCGCCGTGGCTACCGACTGGCTGGGCAAATGCGGTCCTGGGGGCGACCCGTCGGGTTTAAAAGTCTCTTTCGTTTCGGGCATGCCAATGATGTCTAAGATGGCCTTCCGATTAGACAGTTGGGGGGCTCTAAAGACGACCTTGGTAGCACTCAAGTCTGCATCGAATGGTAAGAACGGGCATGCCATGTACATAAATAGCCTTCGATGGACAAGGGATAATATACATACTTCCGTGCGCAATGCCAGCCTCGTGAAGGTTCATAGTGGCTACAATCAACTGGCGGCTCAGCCTCAGAATCACGTCTAGCGGAAGGCGATAGTCGCGGTCGCGGTACTTTGTAATGAGATGTTGTAACGAAGGACCTGCAAAATCCGTGATGAGGCATATATGGGAGCCATTAGGACCTTTGTGCACGAATGCTTTGTAGAACTTGGGGGCGAGGATGTACCAGCGGTTCTGGAATGATTTAAGCATCGCCACTTCGCGCGCCGCGCTCAGGTTGGCAGAGCTGCTGGCTGTGAATATCTTCAGAGCCACGAAAGCGTCTCGCCTGTGGCTGATTAACAAAAGGAGACGGGCCAAGCAAGGGGCTAAAAGAGAAAAACCCGCGCGTTACGCACTTCAAATCCGTGGCGAGCCAGATGGTGGAAGAACGGCCCCAGCCTAGCTTGTGCACGACTTCGTATCGGCCGTTTTTGAACGTATCGTGAAGGCAGACAGGATGCAGACCGCCCTGGCAATACCGGTCTATATTTTCCTCTCCAGAGCCAAGGCCCCGAATAGCCTCTGAAGATTGCTCCATGGCGACGCTGCAAATGGTGATGATGGAGGAGATGGAGGAGAAGATGGATATTCAAGAGAAGATGGGTATGCAAGAGAAGATGGATATGCAAGAGAAGATGATATGCAAGGGAACATGAATACGCAAGAGAACATGAATACGCAAGAGAAGATAGATATGTAACTTCGATTTCTGCACGCGACCATACAGGTAGGCACGACAGAACTGTATTGGCAACATGTATCGACAGCATGTGGCTTGTCAGTCCTGATGGCGGGCGGCTGGAAACCATGTCGAGGGGGAAGGAGCTTGACGAGTTTTGGGGGACTGGGGATTGGAGCCAAGTGGTCGAAAATATCTGATAGCATGCCCGCAACAAGCTATTTACGCTATCCCAAAACGAGGCCTGCCACATGTCATCTATATTCCCCGTCGCCCACTGTTGGCGCATGACAGTCTCTTTACAGTTTCGATTTTGTCCATAGACCTTGACGGTCGAGCCCGGGTTCGCCGTCATAAATATCCCTCTCTACGCGGCGCGTGTTAAGCTAAGGAGGGCTGTTAGTTGGGAATAATAGGAGTAGGTAGTGAAAGAGCATATGTGAGTCGCGACAAGGCATTGGTCGTTGTCAAAATGGCGGCTCGCCGCAAAGTTTGACCATGAGCACATTTCGACTTGACAGCCAATATACCCCATTCCGGCCTCACGGCAAGATTTATACGACAAACCCGCCATAAAGGAATTGATAAGCGGGTTGCGGGCAGTAATATAGTACAAGAAAGCAAGTATCGGACGCAGAGAAGGGAGTGTACTTACACAGCTTGGACGAAGATCTGAAATAGAACGGGCACCAATCAAGCGCATGGCAGTCGCAATCTCGGCCTGCAGGACTAATTCAAGGCAGATGTTGTCAGCAAAGTCCAATTTAATGCGCAAGGCCGGCATATATTGCGTGCCGCTGCAGGTAGCAAGCAGGCCGGGCATAAGATCCCGGGCACTATGGCGCAAAATGACGACTTGGACAAGAAAATGCAACGAGGATTTCCAGCAGCGGGATGACTTACTTTCGAACATGCGTTCCACACCCGCCTGGCCCCCGGCCCCGAGACCGTACAGCGGCGCACGACCAAGCCCCACGCCTCGCGCGCCCAGACACAGCGCCTTGACGACATCCGTGCCGCGCCGTATGCCGCCGTCGATCCAGACCTCGAGCCGGCTCAGGACCTCAGGGCAGTACTTGCGAATTTCGAGCAGCGTATGCACCGGCGGCGGCGCCGTGTCGCATGCGCGGCCGCCATGATTCGACAGGATAATCGCCTTGACCTGCTTATGCTGCATCGCCCGGTACGCGTCCTCGTGCGTCTGCACGCCCTTCAACACAATCGGTAGCTGCGTGTGCGCCGCTAGCCAGGACAGCGTCGTGTCCCACGTCAAATCCGCCGCGGTGCCGAAGAAGAGCTGCTGGCCGACGCCGCCGCCACCGGGGCGCGCCTCGACCCCCGGGTTGCCCGCCGCCGCCACGCGCATCGTTGCGTCGAGGTTGCCGCGCTCGTCAAGCTCCCGCTTGCCCGGCGTCGGCGCGTCGAGTGTGAGACAGATGAACTTGTACCGGTCCGGCATGGCGTTGATGCGGCGCAGCATGGCCGCGCTCTTGTCGCGGCCGTCTTGGATGTAGATCTGCCAGCCAAAGAGCTGGCCTGGCGCCGCGGCCGCGACGATTTGCTCGGGAGTCATCGAGGCATTGTTGGAGACAATCATCATGGCGCCAAAGTGGGCGGCGGCGCCTGCAATGGCCGCCTCGCCGTCGGGGTGTGCGAGGCGCGCCATGGCCGCGGGCGCGACGAAGACGGGTGTGGAGACGGGGTGCCCGAGGAAGGAGGTGGACTGGTCGTTGGCTTTGACGTCGATGAGTACCCGTTGACGCATGCTAATATCCCGGTAGACGTCGTTGTTGCGGACCTTGCTGATTTGGTCGTCGGAGGCTGAGTAGTAGTATGCCCAGGCGCGCGGCGAGAGCCGCTTGGCCGCTTCTTTTTCAATGTCGTCGAGGTTGAGGAGGGCTTGCACGGGGAGGAGCGGTTCCGGCTCGCTCTTGGCCGTGGGCGCCGCCGCTGGTGGTGGTGCCGGTGGTGGTTGTGAGGACTGCGCCGCGGCATGGAGCCTTTCCAGGCTCGCGGCAGACACGGTGCCGAGGACGGCCTCCGGGGCCAGGTTCTCCTCGAGGGTACCGGGCGGGTGCACGGGGTCGTAGTCCTCGGTGGCATCTTGGCCGGCGAGCGAGAGGATAATGCGAGAGCCCCCCGGGTGGGCGCTCAAAAAGGACGTCACGTCGTAGACCTTGCCGTAGAGGATGACCCAGCAGCTATCAGCCGTGTTGTGGCGGGCCACTGGCGGGCGTGAGCATTGTTTTTGTAGCCAGCGGGGTGGGATTGGGATTTACCTTCGGCCGCGTCGAGTTCGGGAGCCATGATGGGGAAAGCTGGTTGGTGTATGCGTGAGTGTCTGGGCGGAGGATTGCAGAGGGCGCCGGATGGCGATGACGGTTGAGCGCTGGTGACAGCAAACGCGCACCGGTAAACGGACAATGCAAGGTCCAGCCAGCACAGGTGTAAGCTACTTCAATGAAATTCGACAGAAGAAAGAAAGAGCGTCATCAATTAGGTATATGAAACGGGTGAAATCTGACTGTCAAAGTGGAAAGCTGGTTCCTTTTCAATTGCCGATGTCCGCGTCGAAGTTGCTTTCAGAGGCCCGTTGATTGGCGGGAAATCCAGCCCGGACTGTGTGGAGAAAAAACGCCCATTATTTGCAGCGGGTTGATGAGCGGAGTGTTCTCCGTTTGCTTTCCCTAGGGAAGTCTTCGCCGCGCATTGCCCATTCCACGGACCGATCAAGGAGGGCCCACTGTTTCTTTTTCCCAGGGCCGCGACGTCATCTCCGAACCAACACCAAAGGTTCCTCCTCCACACACAGACACACTGCACACTGGCACAGGCCGCTCTGCAACTAGCCATCGTTGAGCGAGGCAAACAACCGGCATTGTTCAAGACGAGATCAACGCTACGCCATACGCGCAGAGCGACAAGCCAGCCATTATGCGCTCCGCGGCCGCCGCGACCGTTTTGCGCCGCACATCCGTCTTGCTCCCCCAATGCGCACGCTGCCACGCACCCGCCGCCGCCCTGGTGTCACGCTTCTCGACGACCGCGCGCCGCACCAGCGCCCTCGTCCCCAAGCACAACCCGCACCACCATCACACCGCCACGAGCCCATCATCGCCGCCGCGCCGCTTCCTCTCCCAACAGCCGCCGCGTCGCGCCGATAGCGCCGAAAAGCCGGCCGCCGCCGCCACCCACTACGACCTCTTCCCCTCCACGCTCCCCCTCGGGCCCCCCCCGCGCGGCCACTTTCCCATCCAGACGCGCGCGCTGCGCCGCGAGTTCCTCGCCCTGCAGGCGCGCGCCCACCCGGACATGCACCCGCCGGGGCCGGCCAAGACGCGCGCCGAGGCGCTCTCCGCCCGCATCAACGAGGCGTACCGCACGCTCGCCAACCCGCTGCTGCGCGCGCAGTACCTGCTGGCGCTGCGCGGCGTCGACGTGGCGAATGACGAGCGGCTCAAGGTCGACGAGCCCGCGCTGCTGATGGTGGTGCTCGAGGCGCGCGAGGAGATTGAGGAGGCCCGCGCCGAGGAGGACCTGCACGAGGTGAGGACGGCGAATGAGGCCCGCATCGCCGACGGCGAGGAGGCCCTGGAGAGGGCGTTTCGCGACGATGATGTCGAGGCCGCCAAGAGGGAGGCCGTCAGGATGCGCTACTGGGTGAATATCAGGGAGAGCTTGGATAACTGGGAGCCGGGCAAGCCGATTGTGCTGCAGCATTAGACGCGGGTGCGTGTACAAATTATGGTTGGGAGACATGTAAGATACGTCATATCGGGTATTTAGATTGCATAGGAATAGACACGTACAGTCTGTGGCCGCCTTTCCACTCACGCTCAAATGCACGCCAGACCCAAGTCACGTCAATTTGAGCCTATATATAGAGTACAGATCATCCACAGATATATGCAAGTTCATCATGTACAGGAAAAAGGAGAGACATGTTTCTCTCCTAGACCATTCCGCAACTCCCTCCATGATATGAATAAAGACAGCTGCCTTCCCCCACCCGCCTTTCAAAGATTTGTAAAAAAGAAAAAAAAGACGATAATAAGTACAATAGACGCCAGTATCCGGATATATGTGTGTGCCCCGCTAACCAGTATGTTTTTTTGTCGCCATGGTAAGGAAAGTTGAAAAGAATAATAGGAATAAATGAGGATAGTGAGAAAGGGGGCCTGTGTCTGCTTGTACTACGTGATAGTATATCAAAGAGGAAACGCCAAAAGGAGGCGGAGAAGCACTCGCGCTTGAATGCTATTCATCGACACGGTAAAGAGCATCACCGCTGGTACGCAGGGAGTTGCTCGCCGGTTGGCCTTTGAGCGCTTCGCGACGGATCAGCAGAAGACGACGGCCCGGCACCGACGCCATACCCGGTCAGCTCCTCTTCGTCCTCGTTGAACACCGGTGCGCTCGGCTCGGCATCCGTCTCGGTCGCAGGGCCCGGGTCGCCGGACCGCTCCATGTCTTCCGGGAATTCCGGCGGCGCGCTCGCCTCGTTGATCAGGCGCTGGCGCTCGAGCTCTTGCTTGTCCTCGGCTGGAAAGGCAGCCGAGCCGTGTAGGTCATCCTCGCTCGGGGCAGATGGTCCTGCAGCCGCCTCGTCTTCCGTGGGCGCTGAGGGCCCAGCAGTAGGGGGGAGACGGAGCGGCTCCTGTGCATCGTAAATATTGTCGTCGTCTGGCGCCGAGGCTGACGAGGATGGACCAGCAGCAGAAGGCTGGCTCGGCAGAAGGCGCGTTTCCGCCTGCCGTATGCGCTCCTTTTCCGACATGTTGCGGGAATCAGGCATTTGTGGCTGCGGGATGTAGGCTGGGGCAGCCTCGCGCGAGTAGCCATTGGCGTGACTATGCGTGTGATAATCGGGCTGGGACGGTCCTGAGGGGCCCGCGCGAGGGCGAGGGGGCTGCAAGAATGGCGGCTGCGAGGCATAGTTGCGGTCACTTGGAGTTGTGGTATATATGGCGGGAGATCCGGCAAGCGCTGGGCGCTCATTCAATTCGGCACGGATTATTTCATCCTCGTCACTTTCCGGCACGCGTGGTGGTGGATGACGGGGTGATATTCGGAGAGGCTTCCGCCGCCGAGAGCTGTCGACTGTGCCCACGACTGTTTCCATAGACACCGAAACGACGCCTTTTTGGCGCCGGAGCGGAGTCGTATCGATAATATTGGTTGCTACTCGTGGGCCATAGGCATTGTCGACGCCAGACGTCATGTACTGGCCCAGGCGAGTCGTAGCCTGTTGCCCGCCTTGAAGCATCTGGCCCGAGAGCCTGCCACCCAAGTCGACAATGACTTCGATGTGATAGCGGAAGCTGACCATGGCGCCAGGAACGCCTCGTATCGTGGGAAATGCGTCATCTGGAAGCTTCAGTGAGCATGTCACCGACGCATGCAGCGATGAAGGGTCGATGATCAGCGGCGCCGTATTCTGGTCCAAGTCTTTGCGAAACATGCTCGTCGAACCTGTTGATGACAGCGACAAGCCAGCCAGTCCTGTTCTTGACCTGGGGTATCCGTCATCGCCAATAGCTTCAAGGTCGTTTCCGGAAAACAGCGACGCAGCTGGCGCAGAGTCGATTTTGCTCTGGCGAAACAATGTCACAATGACGCCCGTCAAACTTTTCAAACGCTTAATGTGTTGCACGGATACGCGAACGGAAACCATGTCGCCAGCCAGACAGCCACCCTTGACCAGTTCAATTGTTGCGGTAATGGTTTTGTTGTCGACAAGCTTTTGCTTCGAAGGCGACTTGAACGTAGATGCGTGCGAGAGTGGCGTGACGTCGCTGCGACTCACGGCAGTGCTGATACTACGAGCGCTTTCGCCGCTAATTTCACTCCGCACGTCAATCTGCGTAGGCGGTCCGCGACTGCTTTCCGGGTGCGTGCTGTCGCGCGCAGAGTCAGGGGTGGCGCTTTGTTCTACTGAACCTGCTTCGGAGGTGTGATCATTAGGTGCGCCGGTCGATGGCGGCTCTGGGACGATAACCGGCGGCTTATCGAGTATGGTGGAACGTTTCCGCCGTGTACGCTTCGAAATGGGCTCGAGGAATATCGTCCGCGATCGCGGGGGTGGTAAGTGACCAATGTCAATCTTTTCGAGAAGTAGAACACGCTTGTCGCATGACATGGTGGGAGCAATGGCAGTCGGTCTCGTCAGTGTCGCTGTAATCATGTATGATACAGTACCGCGTTCAAACTTGAAACGAATTGTCAGTGGTTTTGCCTTGGAGGCGTCGAAGTGCACGTGGTATCATACGTCAATGCTGCTTGGGAGGCCAATGTCGGGGAAGATGAGCTCAAAGCCAAATTCATAGCGCCCGGCTTCGAGCCGACCCTCGCCAGCGAGAACTTGCTCGTCCTGGAAGAGGCTGGCGAGGCCATTGCCGTGGTACTGGGGCAGTTCGGAGATGCCTCCGCGCGGCGGTACGGGGGAGCCACTAGCCTTGGCCTTGGCGGAGGCATCCTTGAAAACGTGAATATAGCCGTGGAGGGCGACGACGAGATGCGTGATGCGGATCGGCTTGACGACGGCAATGTTGACGTGGCCGCGAACGGCGTCGCCAGCGCTGTACGTCCTGTGCGGCTCGTCGGGGCGAATGTGAAAGTCGACGACGTTGCGATTGCGAGAGCGTATGGTAAAGGAGGGCAGGTTAAGGCGCGACAAGAGAGCGGAGGTGCGCGATGTGGAGGTGTTGGAGGTGGACGAGTTGATGGATGGCGGCGCGGCGGGTTTGGCGGACGACGAGGGCGCAGAGGCGGCCGCATTGTCGTGGGCGGCGCTGTTTCGAAGCGCGGCCGTTGAAGCTATCGCGCCGGCGGGAGCAGCAGCGGCGACTGGAGACGACGCCGGCGGCCTGCTGGAAGCCGCCGCCGCCGTCGCAGCAGCAGCTGCTGTCGTCTTTGGATCGTCCTCGGAGGGTGCGCCGGCGTTATTCGCGTTGCTGCTGCTGCTGCTGATGCCGCCGCCGTGGTGCGAATCTGCGGCGGCGAGTGGCATGGGCGGCGACGTCGACGAGCGGGAGGCTGCAGACGCGTGGTCATGCGCAGAGGACGAGCGTCGACGGCAGGGTCCAGAGCCAAGAGAGGGTGAAGCAGCACAAGGCGTCGGAGGGGTTCATATGTGCAAAGGTACGGATGCTCTGGGCTAGAACCATACACCGAGGATTGTTTTAGAAAAAAAGGTGGACAAGTTTCGTGGGTTGCAAGAGAGGGGGGGGATGGTTGATGATCCGAGAGCAGGGAAATGGTCCGGCTAGCTGTCGTTGGTCTGATTCCCTGGTGGGCTGTGTGGTCTGCGGTTTGGCTTCCGTTTCGAGACGGAGTAGGCCCTGCACCACAAGCTGCAGAGGCGCTGCGGTGGTTTTGATTGCGAACGGCGTCTATACTGAGCAGCATTGACTTTGTCTCTTTATTTCTTTTCACCATCTCCCTTTTGGGGAATGCTTGATCTGGCTATCACGGCAGCTGCTCTGTTGGGCGGCGTATATTAGCAACGGCAGGGGTCCCGGGGATTATCAAAGGGCCGACTAACAAACAAACTGGCCAGCCAATGGCAAAGTAGTGAAGCACATTCCCAGAGAGATGGAAAAAAAAATCGAGCTCAGCAACAGCTCAGTAAAAAGTAGGGCTAGGATGTTCCCAAGGCTGCAGGTGGTGATGTCGTTTGGGGGGCGAAGGGGGGCAAGGCTTTGAGAGGCTGTGCCTGAGAGTGCGAACTGGAGAGTTTGGCCAGGTCCTGCAGGCTGGGGTGGCTGAAGACTGCAATTGGGGGCATAGGTATTTGGCGGGCGAGCGGGCGGCTTGGTTAAGGTGGTGGCACTGGTGGCTTGAACATGAGGCGAGGCTGCATGCAGCTCGCTGAACGGGCCATCAACGGCGCAGTGGTGGGGGAGGACAGCAACCAGCTGGCAACTGGGCAGTGGTGGTGGCCAGGAAAACCTTGCTCTAACTACTTGCGTGAGTAAATAGGTACTAAGGTAGTTAGGCATTCTCAACAATAAATAATTTAAACATCATTTCTGGCATGTCGACCTGTCAGTTGTCGTAGGTCCCTAGTGGGCAGTCCCGGTGGGGGCTCAAAGTCGAATTGCCCCAGCTCGCCACGATGGCCTGAAAAGGTACCTAAAAAAAGGCACCTACCGCCACTTGCTCCAACCCAACGGCAACGGCAATTGCCCTCTAAACTGTCTCTCACCAGCCACGGAGTGGGGTGCAGGACGTCGCTATCGCCAGGTTACCGTGATAACGTTGCTCTCGCTTACACGCAGACCATATTAACCCCCTCAAATCCTCCTCCTCCAACAACGGCTCCGTAGCAATGAAACAGAAAGAAAAAAAGAAACCCTTCATTTACCGTCTTCTCCACCATCTGCAGGAAGAAAGAAAAATCCTGGTCCGTTCAAACCTGCATCGATGCACGCCCGCCCGCCCACTACCGCCACCAGAAAGCTGAACTCTACATACAACATACAGCGACGATCCTTGATCCATGCATGCATTACAATATCCCATCAGAATCGAGACAATGCCGGATGCCAAGTTTGCCAACCGATTTGGGCCGGCTGCAGATGATGCCAACGCCCGGTTGTACCACGAACCGGAAGCCAAATCACAGCATCACAACGGCGACGGCGCACGAGAAGCCAGCCCTCGTCCGTCTCATCTTCCACGCCAAGGAAAATGGAAGCCTCCAAAGAAGAAAGGGCATTCCCGTCGCCAAGACCCCCGTTGGCATCAGGATTACTATAATAATAGAGTTGCAAGTACTAAAGACTATCGAAACCGCCGCAGATGAGCAACCCCCAGTAGCGCCGGCCGCTAGTCGCGACATCCCTGGCTGTCCTCCATTATTATCAGGTTCGCACCTCCCGCTCTTGACCAGGCTTCCCCTCTTTCTCCTGATTGACTTTGACTTTCCCTCGTACGTTCCATTTTGTATTATTTTATGCATCGTACTCTCATCCTCCTCCTCGTCCCGATGCTCTGTGCTGCACGGTAAGCGACTGACATGTGAAGCCTTGGGTAGACTACCTAGGGGAAGCGGAACGAAAGCAGAGGTACATAGCAACAACACATCCCGCAAGTGTTGATAATAAAGGAGAAAGGTTGGGCAATTTTGAGCCTCCGGAAAAATAACACGGCGCCACAACTGAAGCACGCTACTGCATGGCTTCTCGTGTCACTCAACATCTCGCCTGCCGGCCGCCGCACGCACACCAAGCCGGGCGAGAGAGTTGCAGATGACCGCGTTCTCTTGTTAGTCGGGCATCGGGCGACAGAACAAGCAAAAAGAGTGTACACCATCCTTGACCGCGAGATCCGATGCGTAAACAATGTCGGATCGTACGAATAGTTACATAATCCACCAATTTCGATCGTCAACAGCTATCGGCGCGCCCGCATCTCCCCCTCCAAGCAATCCGGACAGAACCGTGTCGCTGTCGACATGTGCGACTTTCGCTTTGCATCGTTGCATCGCAGAAAAGTGACCGTCATGCACACACACACTCTCTCTCTCTCGTCAAACAATACAATGCAACCACGGGCCACGGGCCACGGTTGTACGGAGCTTGTCGCAGCGAATGGACGATCACAGGGACCAGGGTCTCGCCGGAACGCATGTGCACCAATCAGCAGTGTGCTGGTATGTACGAGATGGGATTCAAAGCACATCAGAAACCGATAGGTATTTTGACAACATGAATCGCCGTTATTCGTTATTTCACATCGCTATGAGCCGGGTGTACACCAATCTCGGCTACAACATGTCATTGGGCACCTGCCACGATTCATTCACCAGCGTCACGCACATGCACGTCATTGGCGATGATCAAATCAAGCCCGATAATAATTTTATGCATTTACAAGTAACTATGATATCCGTCATCCATGCGGGATTCCCTCAAGAGCCCAAACAAAAACCTGGTCCTTCATAATACATGCTGCCAGAAACAAAAACGCCAGCCTGGTCCTTTACATGCTTGCTCCGAGAAAAAACAAAGGCGCCGTGACCCGTTTTCCAAATGCGCCAAAAATCCAAAATAAATCCAAATATACAACTAGTCCAATGCGTCCCCGTGCAAGATGCTAGCCAAAATTCCCGAGCCAATGCCGTCCGCAATCGACTCCAAGTCCTTCTCTGTCACGCAGCTCGCAATGCGCTTGTCGTCGCCGCTCGCCAACACACCCTTGCGGCCACGCTTGCTAGGCGTCAGCGGAGTCACAAAGCTTCCGTTCTTGCCGTCAACCGCATTGACGAGGCCCAGTGTCTCCAGGCTGCCCATAACTTCGCGGAACTCGGAACTTGACAGAGGGTGAAGCACAGAGTCGCGCGTGCATAGACGGCAGTAGGCGTCGAAGAGCTTCTTGATAGTCGGTGCCAATGATTGCGTCTTGCTCGGTGTACTCGGCATACCGAACTTGAACTTGGTTCGCAGGTGGTTCTCGTAGGCAACAAGTGCGCATAGTGCCACCTTTTGTTGCAGGTTCAGAGTCTTGAGTCGCTGTGTAGTACCGTTGCTGAATGCTGCCGCAGTCACCTTGTTCAGGTGACCAATCGAGGCACGAGGGGCTGTTTCGGCTGTCAGAGCTTTGAGGGAATTGCTCATAATTTGTACAATGCTGCGTCCTCCCCTGGGTGCTCCGTTGATGTTCTCGCCCAGAGGTCGCTTCGAGGGTGTCATTTGAAGCATAGTCTCCCTTGCTTCTTCCTCGTGTCTAGATCGTGTCTCGTTCTCAATTAAATCCAATGCTCTTCTGCAAATCTCAAACGCCTTGCGAAGGTCTCCCGTCTGACTCGAAACCTTGCGGGAGCACAGTTCAATGGCAGCGGGGTGAATAAATGGTACGTAGTTTTCTTGACCTTGAGGCATCAAAGACTTGAGGCGAGTGGTGATGATGTTCTTGACTTGGGCAGCGGTGTAAGGAAGGAACGCAAGCAGCTCGGGCTTGAGATTTTTGGACTTGAGGCGCGGGAGGAATCGGTCTGTGAGATCCAGTGCGTTGGCAATGCCGACGAGAAGAAGCTTGGATGACTTGTGCAGGGACCATTCAAAGACACGGTACAAGCTTTCCAGGCCCATGGTGAGAATGTGGTCAATTTCGTCGAGGGTGACCAGATAAGTCGTGGCAATTTCGCTCTTGGGATAGAAAGCATTTTGAAGGGCCACTACAGCGTCAGCCTCCGTCATGCCCTCTGACAGTAGACCCATGCCATCGAGAAGTGTTGTGTACAGATCCTTGGACGACTTCACGCTCATGCAGTTGATGTAGACTGACTTGACACCGTCCATTTGCGTGTAGTCTTGAATGAGCCCGGTAATCATTGCACTTTTTCCGGTACCAGGCGGGCCACTGACGTAGAGGCATCCATTCGGCGAGTCTGACGAGCATCGCTGCAGGAACGTCGTAAGTTGCAGACGTTCCTCGTCGCGACCAACCAGCTGGCCAGGCTCCGCTCCGCGGGCAAATAATTGACGAGCCGAGTGGTAGACGGTCTGCAATGTGGTGGGAGATAGTGGGGAGTGCGGTGTCAGTCGCTTGAAGAGCTTGCCAGCCGACATGACGGCATGTCGGGGTGTGGTGGGATACGCTGCCAATACATCGTGGTGGCGTGGCGTCGACGGTGTGACGGGGTTCTTGGCGGAGGGTTGAGAGATGGAACGCTTTCTTTTGCTTGGTGAGTCGTCGATCGCGGTCTTGATAACGATGGGGCTGGCAGTAGCGTCGGTAATGACGATTTGGGGATCCTCGTTCTCGTCGTTGTAGTCGACAATGGCGGCACACGAGCGGCGAGGTCGCTTGGAAGGAGACTCGTTTGCATCTGGAGAAACAGGTAAGCACGATTGCCAACAAGAAGCCGCGCCTGCTTGCGCAGGAGAATACACACCATATGCTACCGCACGGCGGGATCTCTTTCCCAGAGTTGAGGGAGCCATTGGTGTGGGACCCGGGGCTGGATGCTTCCTGCCAATCGAAGAATGCTGAGATGAAGATGCGCTTGCTAGTGATGGACAAGATGCTAGTAATGCGAGATGCAAGTTGCAAGAGACGATGAACCTTTGTGAAAGAAGAAATGCCAGGATGGAAATGCGGTGGGAAATGACATGCAGCTAACAGAAAACCAGGTTGCTGTGGAAAGCCTTACAAAGGGAGCGAGGATTAAGTAGAGCCGCCCGCGCCACGACCAGGGTCGCGCAAGGGCGGGACGAACCGTGTTCGAGGCGCGTCGCAACGCGCAGAGGACGCGACCAAATCCATTAAAGTGCTGGTCTGTGCGCCTGAAATCTGAAAGCAGACTTGGTGTGGCGCGGACGTGGCTAGTGTAGCATCACGTGTTGGGATTAATACTTGGAAAGGGAGTAAAGGAAGACGATCAACAGAGGTACGAAAGTATTGAAAATAAAAGAACAATGTCTGAGAATATATTACAGAATATCCTGAGAGAGCATACTTTCTTTTCCTCCTTGCTGACATCAAATGCGGCGGGCGGGGCATTCTGAAATCAGTGGCCAAGGCAGCTTGGAAGTCAGTGACGACATCGTAAATCAGCCGACACTGTACAAGGTGTTGCGCACTTGACTGCATCAACCAGCCTTTCACGAAATCGTCGACTGCCATCCGCAATCATGACTACGTACATTCCCTCTCTCACGCTGCCTATTGCCGCCTTTCAGCATTCGGCGACGTCCGTTCTGCTGCCCATCGCCTTTGGTACTGCCATCGGCTACAGCACCAAGCGCAAGTAGTCCCACGTCTCCCGCCGCAGCGCCATCGTCTCACACCTTCACAGCGGATAAAACGGTCAAGACGTACTTGGCGCTCAAGCAGCCTCCGCTGCACCCGCCTGCCTATGTATTCGGTCCTGTCTGGACCGTTCTCTACGGGTGCGCCTGTTCCTCCTCTTCCGCCGCTCCGTCCACTAACAAACATATCATGTCAAGTCTTATGGGCTACGCCGCGCACCGGGTCGCCTCGGCCGGCCTCTCGTCGCTCGCCTCGCCGGCCACGGTCGCCACCACCAAGCACTCGCTGACCGTGTACACGATCCAGCTCGGGCTCAACCTGGCGTGGATGCCAATCTTCTTTGGCGCGCGCCGCCCCATCGAGGCCACCGCCGACCTCGTCGCGCTCCTCGGCCTCAACGGCTGGCTCGCCTACACGTGGAGCACCATTGACGAGACGGCTGCGTGGCTGCAGCTGCCGTATCTTGGCTGGCTTGCGTTTGCGACCTATCTGTCGGCGGGCACCGGCTACCTCAACGACTGGGACATGTCGGACGAGGCGCTCGAGGCTACGAAAAAGACCCAGTAACTGCACAGTGGACGCAGCTTGAACGCGTTCTGTTGAAAGTCGTATCAGCCTTTACTTTTATGGAAACAAAATGTAACCCTATGTCCGTTCTATGCTTTGCATCTACCTTTATTTTGAAAGAAGCCTATTATCCAAACCAATACGCCAAAACATGCAGCCGTATATAATAAAATGCAAAGATATGCGTGATCATGAAGTGCAGCGCACTACACTGCGATTACAAAGGGAAATTTCTCTTGAGTCCGTCAAAGACCATGAAGATGAAGGCGGAGCTGGGCGCGGATCGCAGACAAGTGATGCCGCACCCACGATATAGGCCGCGCACGCCTGACTGGCGCCAGATGGCCGACCCCTCGGCCCAAAAAGACGGTTTCTCGCCCGGTATTCCTAGCGGTGACGTCTGCATGCGCGACTTGATGGTATCGGCGGGAAAGAAGAGAAAGTTGTACGAGACACCGGCCGACGCGCCAGCAACGGCCTGCTGCCACAACGGCAGCGGCGTGGCGCGGATGCGCTCCTGCTCCGCGGCCGAGGCCGCTTTCTTGGTCGCCAGGGTGTAGAACATGGCCGTGACCGTCTCCTTGGCGCCGAACCAGGCCGCGGAACCACCCGACTCGCGGATCAGCGTGCCCATCTGGCCGTGCCAGAAGCCGCGCAGGCCATCGTGGCGGAAAATGTTGCGGACAACGGCGAGCGGCTTCAGGCCGACATTCGACGCGCCGCCGCCGGGCACCTGAATCTTGCACTTGACGAGCTCAATCGGCGTCAGGACGAACGAGGCGAGGGCGCCGGCAAAGGCGCCGGTGCTGTAGAGTGCGGGGAGGGACAGCGGGGTGTCGCGGCGCGCGAGGCCGCTGGCGTAGAGCCCCTCGCGCCCGAGCGACTCAAAGATGAACAGGCTCGACGTCTCGGCCGCGGCACCGACGAGCGGCGCGCTGATGCCCCGGTACATGCCGAGGAAACCGTCGGCCCGCAGCGACTGGCGGAAGCAGTCGAGCGGGCCCTTGTAGCGGAGGGGCAGGCGGTCGGGCTGGCTTTGAAGGCGGACCTTGACGGTGTCGAAGGGGTATTCGATGTATTTTCCTACGATGCCGGCAATCTGCACATGAACAGCATAGTTAGCCAAGGAGTCTTGCACATGAGGTGTGCCGGGGCACAGGTGGTTTTGTCCCAGACGTACAGAGCCGTAGAGGATGCCCTCGGCCGTCTCTTTTGCTGCATTCCTGACGGGCAAGGACACCTCCGGCGCCATGATGACGGGAGGGGCTTCGATAGCGACGGCGGTCGGATTCATGCTCGGTGATCGAGGCCGAAGCGGAGTTTATCGCTGGTATTATCGGCGGTGTGGATTTTTTTTTGGATTTTTTTTCTCCTGTCGCTCCTCAAGCCGCCAGCGCGATGCCGTCGGGCAGTCAGCGCCTGGGCCAAAACGGAGGTCGTACCGCCTAGGAGGTTTGTTGAACGCTGTCACGGCGCAGCAAACTTGTAGTTGCCAAATCGGGGAGTTGTAGCAGGATCGCGCGCCCTTTTGTTCAATGTGTCGCACAAAAAATGGATGGGTTGCGATACCGGGGCCGTATTTTCGTCACCGACTGACTACTAGGTAGTGCCGTGTGTAAGGGTGATGAAATGATGCTAGATCCGCCACTGCACGGCCGCAGCGATAAGAACCAGGAGAGGGAAAAACCGGATGAAGAAGTGAGAAAAAATAGAGGTAAGAGAGATTATGGAAGAGGGGAGCACGGAGGGTTTATTATAACTACAACGGCCAACCCGAGCGGCTAGTATTTCTCTCAGATCCCCCTGGTGGGTGGCCACATTGGGCAAGCATAGCCAAACCCCCACCACCAACAAGAGGCCCGAAATTTACAGGACGAATTTTGGAATTTGCAGGACACCATACTAGAAGACCATGCACATGCACCAACAAGGCGGTCGAGAAGCACGCGCGACGTCCGAAACGAAACGGACGGTGGATCAAGAATCGGCATCTGCCAGCCGTCGATTTTTGTTCGCGGTCCTGTTTTATAATTTCATTGCCCAGGTAATAATAGTTATTGATTTAGCTTAATGCTTTTCTGGTCCCTGTCATTAGTGCGGCCGACTGCCAATCCTACTGTGTACGACAGTGCTGACAGCGAACACTAGGCGCAGCCCGGTTGTATGTCGGCCATCTACAAAGGAAGCTTAGCTTCACGCAGGACTTCTCTCACCGGCTTGTCCTGATGTACTTTGTTGTACCGCCATGAGGCATTTCCTGGGACGAGAATTGGGCAGTGCAGTGAGCGAATACCGTTGCAGCGCTCTCCTGCGATATGTCGCCATGGCCTCGAATACTACACCGTTCAAGCCTCAAATGACGTAGCGTAGCTCTGCCTCGGCTGGATGTCACCCACACATACACACAGATGCACATCATGCTATTTCCATGCAATATAGTATTCCAAAAATCACCATGTTTCTCAGAGCCGACTAACCGGAATCGTACAGTCCACCAAAACTAAACACGCAACGGATGAGCCGCTTAGCCGGGTTTGCGCACGCAGCTTCTCTCCCAAACAAGTGCTATCTGATCATGAAAACGTGCCCATGTTACAACATAAATCGTTCCCCTCCATTTCCTCCCTTCTTGTCCCTCCCCTGTCGCGTCACGCTTCAATCTCTCTTTTTTGACTTCTTGGGTGACTTGGGCGACGCAGGACGGCCGGCCTCCTTCTTCTCTGCCGGCTCGTCGTCGTCGCGGTCGCGCTTCTCGGCGTACCACTGGCCGGCCTGGAGCACCAGGACACCGATGAGGACCAGGGCGAGTATGGTGTTGCTGGCCGACATGACGCGCAGGCTGTCCTCCTTGCCCAGGATGTACTCGCCGTCGCTCTCGCCGCGACGCGTCTTGGCGAACTCGGGCTGGTCCCAGACGCCGTCGGTGAGGGCGCGCAGGCCGCGCACGATGTTGGTCATGTAGGTGGCGGCGCCAATCACGTAGAGGATCAGGGAGGCGCCGTCAAAAAGAAAGTTGGCCTCGGAGGGGCGGAACAGCTTGATGAGGAGACCAGCAAAGGCGACAAAGACCATGATGTTCAGCATGCGGTGGATGAGGGGCGGCGCGGCGTGCATAAACTTGAGGTGCACCTCAAGCTGTGGGAGAAAGTCGGCGGCGAGCGGCTCCTTGCTCCAGAGAAGGGGAAAGTCGTAGGGGAACGAGGCGAAGAGGATGCCGAGGAAGAAGCAGGTAGCTGGGAGCAGCAGGTTAGCAACGACCGCCGCGCGGGTTACAGAGCTCCGTGGAGAATGGGCGCGCGAGGGAAAACATACGTCCGATAATCATGAGCGTCGCAAACGACCCGGATCCTCGGTAGTTGCTGGACCGAGTCGTCTTGCTCGAATCAACCCATCCGTCAAAGAAACCCATGGTGTTGGTATCGGTGTCGGTATTATGCGTGGGGAAAGAGGATCAAAATAATCACTTTCGAGTTGTGTAGGTTGTCGGGAGGGTGTAGTAGCGGTTGCGAGAAGACGCGTCTCTCTAATCGGGTATCGAAAAAGCAAGTTGGAGATAGAAGCTGCAAATTTCGAAGAGAAACGGCGTTGCAGAAGGATGAAAATATGCGGCCACGGATTGGACAGCCAAAGTTTGGGGGCGGCTCGTCTTCGCTTGGCTTGGGTTGCCTGGGCTTTAGGTTTTCGTGTGGCGTTTGCGTGGGTGGCGGAATATCACACTGCTGGAGAGACAATTCATTCGGTGTTTGCAGAGTCTTGAATCTCTCTACTGCTGTAAGCTCATCCCTCTATTCATTTGACTTGTTTCGTGTCTATTCCAAATCCTTGGCTTTGTTTTCTCGAGTGTCCCAGTGTATTAGTTAGGTACCTGGTAACTACGGTAGGTAGAGCTCTTTTACCTACCTGTGGCACCCACTGTGGGGAAGCTGTGTTCAGCTGCACTTCAGCATTCAAAGAACCAGCGCCCACCAGGTGCAGCAACTCGATTGCAACTGTCAAGAAGTATTTAAATGAAACCGAGTATAAGCCATGAAGAAATCAAGCTGTCTTACAAAGACCTCACAAACTGCCACTAGCTGGTCCGTTATTTTCATGAATACGACATAGGCGGTAGCATAACTTTCAAAATAGACAATCTCCAATCAAAACACAAGGTCTGAGCTAACTAGCAAGGCAGTAACAGTCATTGATCTTTCAGTACTATCTACAGATCACGACTTCCTTGCTTTTTAACAAAAGAATATATAGAACAAAGTACAGGAGTTTCACGAGCTACCATACGTCTACTTGTGCTCCGCGCGCCCGCCACTCAATCATTACAACCGGAGGGAGCAGCCAGCGGCATATGGCATACCTACCTATGCAAGGAAATAATGGTCGCTTTTTAAAGCGCCCGGCATAATGACCGGCTCATTTTAGAATCTAAGGCCGTGCCGCAACCTCGACCAGGTATGTTTTGTGCAATTCAGAATTATGAGAGAAATGGCTGGCAGAACGGGGGGCGCTTCGAACGGTCAAGTGGTCGTGGAGGCAAGCGGAGGTACAGCCCAAGCGCGCCGGCGTCGACTGTTGTTGTCATGCTCACATAGATGCAAATAATTTTCTGAAAATTCAAGAAAAGCCCCCATGGTCTAGCTGGTTAGGGCATCGGTCTCATAACGTTTAGATTATGATCTAGTCTGCAGATTAGACATCCGAAAATCGTGGGTTCGATCCCCACTGGAGGCATCTACTCTTTCATTGAAAGTTCTTGGCTTTTCAAGTCTTCTTTTTTGTCCCCACTCAAGCCGAAAGTGGAGACGATCCATAGTTGCAGCAATGGGTAGCAGATTTTCATCAGCACCCCTGTGATATGAGGACGAATAATATTCTGGTATAGTAGCCCCAACTATCGCCACCAAGAACGACGCAATTTAGCGGGTACTTGACTGCATCGCGTGTACTGGTAAAAGAAGTGTTGAGCCCTGCGGCAACCTCCAGCGAAGGCCATCGACTGGCGGCTGGGCATAAGGGACCTCCAAGAAAAAGTCTTGGTTATAGCTTGGCGAGTGAATACCCGCGTAGGTTCTATTGCGAGTTTGAAGCAGAGGTTTTTCAGTCTCCGTATATGCTACGGGATGCTGCGCCAGTATGTTTTGATAATGTTGATGGAAATTGTAGTGATGATGGCTCGCGCCGCCAACTGCACCGAGGCAGCTCAGCATAACAAGTGGCAAAAATGTCTGCATTCCGGCTATGATATGGAGACAAATGAGAAGACGGGCTGCGTTGAAAGAAGGACCAAGGTGAGAATTACAAGTGAGAGTCAGGCGAAAACCAGCTCGCTTGTATGCTCATGAGAAGTTGCAGCCGCTTACATGGCCATCGACAACCAGCCCAGAGAGACCAAGGCAAGATACAAGCAGCCCGTTCCGGAGGCTGGCTAATAATGAAGCAATAATAGTTCACCCCGCAAAACTCGAGCTGTTGCCACGATCTACACAGCGGGAGGCGGTCCGGAAATCAGGCTCTGCTCAAAACAAGTGTTTGCCCCGGCCAGCTTGTAAGGCTTGCCGTCCTAGCCGTTTTCGTGGATTGGATTTCAAAGCAGATTGTAGATGCCAGAGCAATAACATGGGGCAACTAAACGAGCAACCTCGACAGAGCGGGCGCACCGCTCTGCGTCTTGTCCAGGTCAACTTTCACTCTGAATTATACCCCTCGGTTTCGACAAGTTTTCTTGACTGCCCGCTTTGCAAACTTTGCTCTTCCCTAGGTTTCGGCACGCGCGTCCTGATCGCAAACGTATTCCAAAAAAAAAGTCATGAACGACAAGGTAGACGAAAGGGTAACCGCGGCGAGAAGCAGCAAACTCCCACCCTGTTCCGTACAGTATGTCCAAGTTGTTTAGCAGGGGCGAATTTATACCAGGACCAGTAGTGTTAGACCAGAATCAAGCCTTTAGATTGGCGTGTATAGCAAGTTTGCTTTTTAGCAATGTATTATACTGGTGGTAGATCTGCTCCATTTCACCAACTAGCGGGCACCTTTCCCTTATATTCGTCCCCAGAAGAAGGAAAGGTTATTTTCTTGATGTTCTTGTTAGAGAAAGAATTCTAAAGCCAGTCCGGACGCGGACGCAGACGCAGACATCCGTCATACAAAAGCCGACTTGCAAGTGGGGCTGGCGCTCAGCCGTGCTGCTTGATTCGGCTGAAATTTCCTAACACCCAACCAGTTTTGGTCTTGACATCATTTTCCAGCGCTTGCATATTCGGTTTTCGCAATCCAGAGCTTGCTGCATACCCGCAGGCCATTCAGTATCGCTTTTGAAAACGATACGCCTTGCCACCAATTCGAAATTCGGGAGATACAAGGGGAGCTCTTTCGACAGAGCCAACAGAGATTCCCAGGAGTACGCACCGCGACGCAAGCGTCTCGCAGTCTTCAAACATAGAACATTCACCAACACAGGCTTATTTCTAGTGCCTCGCTGAGCCACCGCGAGAGCAACCGTCCACCAGCAAGATGGTTCGGCCAAGAGACTCACGCTCACCAAGCCTGGCGGCCGGCCACGGCGGTCGTCGACAGCGTGACGACCGACGACCACGCGATCGTCGCGACGAAAGAGACCATCGTCGGCGCTCTCGATCGCGCTCACCTGAAGTACGCCAGCGCTTTACGCCCACTCACATGCGCAGCAAGCATTCTAACATACCATTATCTCTGCAGCAACGACATCGCGACCGAGACGGCGGCCGTGACCGTGACCAGTACCGCCGACGAGATCGCTCCCGCTCCCCCGACAGGGATCACGATCGCTACCGCGGTGGCCGTGACAGACGCCGCTCGCGAGACCGCCACGACGACAGAACCCGGTCACCCGGTAGCCGGCGCAACAGAAGCCGCGACGGCGACCGAAGACCGGATGACGCGCGTGGCAAAGACTCCCGAGGGGCTGACACTCGCAGCAATCGCAGTGACAGTCGAAACAGAAATACACCGCGTACAGAGAGTGGTCGAACCCCGGACGACCCCGCCAAACAGGCCCGCGACACCGCTGCCCAGACCGATGCCGATAAGAAAAAAGCAGAACGTCTAGCGAAGCTCGAGGCATGGAAGAAGAAGAAGGAATTGGAGGGACAGAAACAAAAAGAGGTCAACCCTAGTCAAACTCGCAATCTATTGGCAGAAATGGACAAGAAGGCCAGCGGTGCGCCTTCTGGTGCTGCCTCACCCGCCGTTTCGTCGGTTGCCTCCCCCACACCTGGCCCAGACTCTGGCAACGAATCTCCCGTGCGACCATACGCTGGCAAGTTCGATCCTAAGAGTATCGCAAAAAAGTCAGCCGCGAGAACACATGATTCTACGAAGTCAATCCTCGGTTCCATCAATACCGAGCAAGGAAAATTATCCGTGCCAGTTAAGCAATCCACAGCATCTGCATTGCCAGCCAATCGCGCCAAGACGAGCGGTTTCGGGTTCGGCAAGTCTCAGGGTGACGATAAACTTCCCAGCAAGCGAAAGCTCGACCTAGACGAGGAAGTCACTACGAAACGCCAGCTGACAAAACTGCCCAGCTTGCCAATCGAGGCAGACGACACACCATATGTCGACCAAGACGAGGGTGAAGACGACGAGGGCGGTGACGAATTCGCTGAAAACGAAGAAGAGGCTGCTGCTGCTGCCCGTGCCGCGCACGAGAAACGCCTCCAGGCTGAGGAAGAGGCCGCTAAAGAAGCAGGTGGTGACGAAGCCATGGCAGACGCGCCGGCCACGAATGGAACTGCTGAGACCGCTGAGGATACCGAGAATACTAAGACTGCCGAGACTGCTGGAACTGCTGGAGCTGCTAGCGCTGTCGAGGAAGAAAAGATGGAGGTCGATGAGGCGGAGGACGATGTGGACCCTCTGGATGCCTTCATGGATGACTTGCAGCAAAAGGAAGTCAAGCGCCGGCCCCCCAAAAAGACATCTACGGTTAAGAAGCTGCCAGAGCCCGAAGCATACTTTAGCGACAACGACTATGGATACGAGGTGGACAAAAATGCTGCCGATGCTAGTGCCGTTCTGGCCATGACAAACAAGCGCAAGAAAAAGGACATCCCTACTGTTGACTACAGCAAAATTGACATCCAGCCCATCCGAAAGAATTTCTGGGCGGAACCTGTCGAGCTCAGCGAGCTCAACGAGGCCGAGGTGGCAGATCTTCGAGTAGAGCTTGACGGCATCAAAGTCAATGGCAAGGATGTGCCGAAGCCTGTACAGAAATGGTCACAATGCGGTCTCACTCGACAGATGCTCGACGTGATCGATAGCATGGGGTTCGAGAAGCCAACGTCGATCCAGATGCAGGCGATCCCTGCCCTCATGTCTGGCCGCGATGTCATTGGCGTTGCCAAGACCGGTTCAGGAAAGACCATGGCCTTTTTGCTTCCCATGTTCCGTCATATCAAAGATCAGCCTCCACTGAAGGAATCAGACGGCCCTATTGGGCTCATCATGTCGCCTACGCGTGAGTTGGCCACGCAGATTCACCGTGATTGCAAGCCGTTCCTCAAGATGATGGGCATTCGTGCTGTCTGCGCCTACGGTGGTGCTCCAATCCGCGAGCAAATTGCCGAATTGAAGCGTGGCGCCGAGATTATCGTCTGCACACCCGGTCGCATGATTGATCTGCTCGCTGCGAACCAAGGACGCGTCACCAACTTGCGACGAGTCACCTACGTTGTCCTGGACGAAGCGGACCGCATGTTTGACATGGGGTTCGAGCCGCAGGTCATGAAGATTTTTGCCAACATGCGCCCCGATAAGCAGACAATTCTCTTCTCCGCCACCATGCCGCGGATTATCGACTCACTCACCAAGAAGGTGCTGAACAGTCCTGTGGAAATTACTGTCGGCGGGCGCAGTGTCGTGGCCAAGGAAATTGAACAGATTGTGGAGGTGCGCGATGAAAACACCAAGTTTCACCGTGTGCTTGAGCTCCTTGGTGAACTTTATGAAAACGACGAAGACGCGCGTACATTAATCTTTGTCGAGCGTCAAGAAAAAGCTGACGACTTGCTCAAAGAGCTCATGGTCAAGGGCTATCCGTGCATGTCCATTCACGGTGGCAAGGACCAGATAGACCGCGACTCGACGATTTCCGACTTTAAAAAGGGTGTCGTTCCAATCCTGATTGCGACATCTGTTGCTGCACGAGGCCTGGACGTTAAGCAACTAAAACTCGTCATCAACTATGATGCGCCCAATCATTTGGAAGACTATGTCCACCGCGCCGGTCGCACAGGCCGTGCCGGAAACACCGGCGTTGCTGTCACATTCATCACGCCGGAGCAGGAGAGCTGCGCGCCAGGCATCGCCAAGGCCCTGGAGCAGAGCGAGCAGCCGGTTCCGGAGCGCCTCAGTGAAATGCGCAAGGCGCACCGCGAAAAGGTCAAGACGGGCAAAGCCAAGGACACGTCGGGCTTTGGCGGCAAGGGTCTCGATCGTCTCGACCAGGAGCGCGAAGCCGCACGCATGCGCGAGCGCAAGACACACAAGGCGGACGGCGATGATGAAGAAGAGAAGAAGGAGGACAAGAAGGAGGAGGAGGACACCAAGCACGAGCGCGCCATTGGTGCCATCAAGGCGGCCGCGTCTGGCATCCAGTCCCGCGACGCCGGCAAGGCCGAGGTCGCCGTCAACGAGCCCGTCATCAAGACGTCTGGCGTCGTGGCCAGCAACCCGGGCGGCGCGGCCAAGGGCGGCAACAACCCGCTGGACAAGGTCAGCTCGGCCGTCAGCGCCATCAACACGCGGCTAGGCAAGGCCGGGCAGCTGCGCTCCGGGCAGCCGATTGACAACAAGGGCCCCGACGCGGGCGCCTTTCACGCGACGCTCGAGATCAACGACTTTCCGCAAAAGGCGCGGTGGGCCGTGACCAACCGCACCAACGTGGCCAAGATTCTCGAGGCGACGGGCACGTCGATTACGACCAAGGGCAACTTTTACGCCGCCGGCAAGGAGGTGCCCGAGGGCGCGGAACCGAAGCTCTACATCCTCATCGAGGGCGACACCGAGGTCGTGGTGGGCTCGGCGCTCAATGAGCTGACGAGGCTGCTCAAGGAGGGCACGATTGCGGCGGCGGACGCGGACAGCAGGGCGCCGGCGAGTGGCCGGTATACGATTACGTAATGGGCTTTCCCTGGTGGTTTGTGGGCGTTTTGAGTCGTTTGAACTGGAAAAAGGTTGTGAAACCTGATGTAATATCGAGGGAAGAAATTAGACGTATTCTTGTGTTATGGGCAAGGCGCGCATGATGGATCATGGGAGTAGTTGGGAAAATCTATTGCTAAAGTAACATTATTTGGGTCCGCCACTTCATCCTATAAACCTGCCATGAAGACTGGGGGTATTGTGCCGGTCGTGACACTTGGAAGCTCATCCCCGTCGTCAAAGATGAGGCATAGAGGGATTCAAGAAAGGTGACGAGCAACGATGCCAAGCCGCGCTTTTTGCTTCCCATCGTAGACGCGATAACCAGTCGCTGCCGATACCAGAACTCGGTGCGTTGGTAATTTATTGTGTTTTTTCCGGGTTCCAGAGTCAGCCCGTCTGGCCCAGGACCTGCCTATCATTCGCTTCAATCTCGCTGCGGCGTCTATCCTGCTCATCCCGTTCCTTGGCGGTCAGCACGCGCGCACCGCCCAGCTTCTTCTTCCTCTGCGCCTCTTGCTTCTTCCTGTCCTCCTCGATTGTCTGCCCAATCATCGTCAGCCAAAGTTGCCCCCCCGCGCGCGCGCGCCGACCGGCAACTCACACTCCATCTTTCCCTGGCCGCTTGCGACGCTGGTGTCGCGCCGCCGCTGCTGCCGCCCCCGACCACGCGCGCCTCGCTCTGGTACGTCTGTTTCGTCTTGGCTTGGGGCACCGACGCCTTGTGCGGCCGGGGCGGTGCTGAGCCGAGCGGGCGGCCCGGGCCCAGCCTGTCCTCGGGGTCCTGTTTACCGCAAATGTTGCCCATTAGATGTGAATTGATGAGTTGAGAAAAAGGAGGGGGGGTTAGGGATGACGAATGGTGGGATGCTCTGGAATGTTTTATGGTCGTTGAAAGTTGATGGGGGGAGGTGGGGGGGGGGAGGCGCGTGGCAAGGCGCTGCTCCGCCCGCTGCGGGCTTTGGTTTTATAGTGCAGGTGACGTTTGGCCTCGAGCGCCAAGCCCTGGACTTTGACCTTGCAATATCCCATCTTTTTGGGCTGCGAACTAGCTGATGAACCTGTGCGACTTTCTTCAATCAAGGTCGGGGGCTGCAAACTATCTCTCTTGTGCCCGACGTCGGGGAATTGACGTGAAACCGAAATCTTCTCGGGTGCTTGCATGGTTTATTCCATCTGACCAGTAGTTATGGCCAAATCCATCTTGGTATTGCAAACAACGTCTGGAGTTGTTGAGGACTACCTCTGGCTAATATGCTGCCCTTGAAACATGAATCAATGAAACATGACCTATTTTGTTCTGGTTGGCTACTCGAGGGCGTTTCTTTGAGACTCTGGTGTGATTAACGAATCATCGGACACCCGTCACGCCATCGCGGAAACCCGGATCTTAAAGCTGTTTTCTGCGATAGCCACAGATAATCACACTGCCGATATACTCACACCCTCTCATGTATGATGGTTCTTTCTCGCATATGGGATGACAAGAATCACCCCACCACGCTGGACTCCATAAATACAGTGTGTTTTGAGACTTGAAAGTTCATGACCGCCGACATGAAACCCTTTCGTGGGTTCCTTGGTCAAGCTCTTCCGGTTCGAAAGGTGAGGGATCCGGCGACGGTCCCGCTGGAAGTGGCGAGTTTCTTAGGCAAGGTGTGAGAAGTACAGGAGAGACTGGAACAGGCACGCAGAATGCATCCTCCAAAAAGTCCAAATTATTCCTGGTTGTCTTGGCGTATTAACTCTCGATATGATTGGGGGCACCAACATTTAGACCGGTGGCATTGCACAATTAGACTGAACAGCAAGGAGAGGAGACATTGGCCGGCTGAAGAACTAGTTTGATACAAGAATATGAAGACACTATTGAAACATGGTATAATACAAGGCATTTTTTTGTTGATTCGTTTTTTTTCCGTTTGTCTTGTCTGGTTCCGTGGTCGGGGACGTGATTACTTGGAATTTCTTCCAAAGTTGCTATGCGCATGTTAGGACCCATGATCAGACGAATGATTGGGGCAAGTCTTACTTGTGGAAGAAGCTGCCAAAGATGCCGAGCTTGGCCTGCTGGTCAGACATGCTCTGGCGACGGGCGGCGGCCTGGGCCTCGCTGCGATTGCGGGTGAGGCTCTCGTAGGCGGGCATCCAGCCGGAGCTCTGCATATCCCCGTCAGCGCGATCACTTCAACATGCACATGGCCGCGCGCAACATACTCGGCGGCGAGGCTGCTCAGTAGCGGGAGGAATGTCCTGGGGCTGAGACGGAGAGCTCATGGTGGGCAGTTGGGGTCCGGGCAAGTATCGAGAATAGGTATGCGATGGAGGGCGCAGGGTCAAGATTTGTATTGTTGATGAAGGCGAGATGGTTTGGATGATTTGCATATAGCAAGAGATGATGGAAGAGAGAAGGGGGGGACCTTGTCGATATATATATATACCGTTTGTTGCGGGGGGAAGCAGAAGGGTCTACGGCGTCATGCAGCCGCTAAAATCGGCAGTCGATGCTGGGGGAGGGGGGGGGATTAGAAATAAACAGGCCATCGCGGGGAGACCGTAGGAGAGGGGAGCCCAGCCATCGTTTATACTTTAGCCTCTTTTGTACTGGGAAACTCGATTCCGACTGGACAATGTGCAGCTGGGCGCATCGAGAACGGCTGTGACGGGCCAATGACGCGGGGAACCCCTCCTCCCACAGCCAACGGAAGGGGAGCTGATCGGCGCAGCCAACGGTGCGGGTGGTTTTATTGAAAGATGGAATAGTTGCTGCCAGAGCGAACCTATTCACTCCTTCACTTGCATCCGTGTGAGCTTGACCATTAACTCGGGGTCTTGTTGAGTGAACACTGTGGATCATGAGTTCTACTCCACGATCGAGACGCAGGCAGGCATCCAACTCGGCCGAGTTCCGACGAATTTCCCCATCAGTCGAGTATCCTGCACATCGAGTTCTAGTCTGGTCAGGGGCGGCTTCCTCCTTGTTACATGCCTAGCCTTGCGCACAGCATCAAACAATATGTATACTTGCACTACCAAAATCTAGATCGATGTGCATAAACCCGGTCCTTGTCATCGGGTCTCTCTTTTAGTCTAGTGTCTGGGGGCGGCAAGCGCAGCCGGATGGCACTTCGTTGAGTTGGCCCCGGAACTATCCAGCCATACACGGGTGACAGAAAAGCAAGGCGACAGATAGTCTGCACTTTATAAAAAAGGGTTACTAGTAAAAGGAAGAAGGGAATTAGGAAACAGATTAGAAGGGTAAGCAGAGTAAGAAGAAATTAGAAAATAAACAAAACAGCCAGAATAAGGAAAATAGTATTCCTAACCGGCGGTTTATTTTGTCTCCCGGGTACCAGCTAAGCAATAGCGTGTGGACGGCATGGAGACCCTCACCAATATGGGACAGCTTACATACATCGAGAAATGCTTCTGACGAGGTTATTGGGCATGCATCTTCGCTGCAGCCATCACGGATATAATCTACCTATTAGCAACCCTAGATGATTCGGGATTGGGTAAGCACTATAAGAGCGCCGTTTGATATGGAGTGCGGCTGCAGCCGCGAGTCGGTTGATTCTGACAGAGTATGGTGTCTGAGCGGACGTCTACATGTAGCCTCATCATCTCAGAGTACCTCGTTGGTGAATTGCATTTCGCGATCATTCACTACTGGCCTTTGTACTCCGTTGGGCACCAGAAGAGCCAATAGTGCCGACGGGTGATAACACGGGGATGACTCTCCCGGCTTGGCGAGATAACGGAGGGGGGAATCGATTGACGCATTGACAGTGCGAAACAGAGAAATTGCACAGTCTGTGAAAATAATTAGCGCATGTCGCAGGCCAACAGAAGTTGTGTGATGATGATGTTGTTTCTCGTGTGTTATGTGTGATGATTTGACAGAGGGAGGGAGACTGGGTGTACCCCTGTTTGTGAGCAAGGTACCTGCCGTTACTGTTGGAAGTTGCGGGTATGGCCAAGTATAGCGGCGGGGCAGTGCGTACGAGCGTGTCGGCGCACGAGGTGGTGTCGGCCCCATTGTGGAAGAGGATGCAGGGTCGATGGTGGGAAGGGAATTGTTCAACAAAGAAGCAGGGTGTGGTTGTCGAAAAGGACGAGTGCAAGTGTGTGTTGGGGTTTTTTTTTCGTTGCTTGTACCGATAACGTGACTTTGTCTCGCTTTTCGGTCCGGGGACCGGCGCGGCGAGGAATCCATCGGTGGGAGCAAACGGCCGCGGCCGAGTACGGAACGGACGCGGACGGCGGGAATGGGGGCGGGGAGCGACGGGCGGGCGCGCGGCGGCTGCACCAGCTGCACCAGCTGCACCAGTATGCAGATTGGGAGCAAACGCGGGCTGACCAAGACCACCTAGTTGGACAGACATCAAAGGCAAGCACGCGAAAAGAAGAGCGCAGGACAATCGCAATCGCACGTCACCAGTCATTCTTGAGCCTTGAGCAAAGAAAAGAGGCAGGGCTGCGCACAGCCGGAGCGTTGGTGTAACTACCTCTTTGTAGGCGCTACTGAAAACAAGGTCGTTGACTGCAGTTGGTTCAGTGAGTCAGTGAGCCACTCGTTGCAACTGACTTGATCAGTTGATCATGGTCGTTATTGGTGGCCAGAAGCGACTGGTCGAACGCCGCCCCACTTTCTGCTGCACCTTCCACCTTCCCTCTCTCATACCCTCTTTGTCCTGAAAACATGTCCGCGAGTCCATCCGGGTTCTCACCACCTTCGCGACCTACCACTTTTTGCCCTCGCCTTTTCCAGCGCCCGTCGCCGCCATGCCTGCTCGTCGTCGGCCAGACAGAGCACGTAATTCGCCTGGCTGTGTCTCCAGGCACACACGCTAAACTTGCATGCTCTTTTTTTTTTTCCTTCTCCTGCTCTCGCCAACCTCGTTTCCCTTTCCCTCCCGTTCTCTGTACATCTACATCACACACACCAAACCTCGCCAACACTGACCGTCTCTCACCCAACACTCATCCCCATGAGCAGACCGCCTAACCCTGCGAACTCGCCCTCATTTCAGCTCATAAGCCCTGCGCTTATTCCAGCTTTCTGAACCCCGTTTCGCCTGCTTGCATATCCATCTTTGTTTCCCCCTCCCTTCCTCATCTCGCTCAGCCTCGGCATCCCGTTCCTGGCCGCTGTGCTTGACCCAACAGACCAAGGGCCTCGCTTGCCCCTCTTCTCTCCAGCCTCGTCCTGAAAACCTCCTCCATTGACTTTTCGTCGCGCCCACCATGGACGACGACGCGGCGCACATGGCGTTCAGCGGCCCCCCCTCCAATGACATGGCTGCCATGGCGCTCAATCTCGATAACCTCCTCCCCATGGACATGTCTCTGTCGCACGGCTTGGACTCCTTTACCATGACCTTCCACGACGACTCATGCCTCGACCACAACAGTTTCAACCATTGCAATATCGCCGCAAAGAGCCAGACATCTAACCACAAGGCCCTCGCCATGGGCCAGCGTAGCCTCTCGCAGACACACTCTCGCCAACGACACAGCATCTCCAACCCGATACCTGTTCACAATGCTTCCTTGGCCGAGCAGAACCAGCAGCAAACTTTTCCATCGCCGTGGGATGCCATCTTCACCCACACCCTGCTCCAGAACAACGTGCCTTGCCCCGGCTTCGATGTCTGCCACGACAACGACTGCGAAGCCTCCTGCAACTCGGACTGCGAAGGCAGCTGTCCTAGCCAGTGCGACAGCAAAGAACACGGCGTCTGCTGCGAAGACGATGCTTGTGTTCCTCCTGATCTTTGTGTTGACGAGGACTGCAAAGCTCCGTCAGTGCCCTGCTCCCAATCGGCTTGTCCCATCTCCGACACTGAAGCCGCCGCCGCTGCCGCCCTCACTTCATTCGGAGACAAGGGCGGTACTGTCACCACGCCTCTCACTACATCGCACACTGTCCCTCCAACCCCCAGCATGGCTGATGCCGGCTATCTAGACCTACCTACTGTTCCCTGCTCGTCTCTGTCCCTGGACAACTCCTTCGGCAACATGCCCGCCTTTTCTGGTCAAATGTGGGATATTGCCCCCGAGTTTATTCTCGCCAACCACATTATGCAGTACCATGACCCGACACATCAAGACAATCACATGCACTCGTGTATAGCCGACAAGCCCAGCTCCCTCATGCAAATGTGCTCTTTGCCAAAGCATACCTCAACTCCCGACGGTATCAGCCCACACGGTGTCGATGCCATTTGCGGTTTCCAGATCCAAGACCCCTATGACTTTGCGCAGCACATCTTCCAGCAGCATCGTCCTGCCCTCATGGCCAATGGAAACAGCTTCCACAAGACGCTGCAGAATGCGACCTCACACCACATGCTTGACGATCACCATCACCATCACAACCACTTCTCTTCCACCACCTCTCCCTCTACAAACCTCTCCCTCGCCACCTCTCTCTCCCCTACGCCCGCCTCTCTACCCACCCCTTCCACCATTGAAGGCACAAACTACTTTGCCGACGTGACGAGCGCTGTCGCTGAAGGCACTCCCTCGGTCTCGCCAGAAGACCAAAATATTTGCCGTTGGCTAATGTCCGACGGCATGGGTGGTCAAAAAATCTGCGGCCAGAGGTGCAGCAACCACAAGTCGCTGCAAGACCACTGCAAGTCCGACCACCTGAAGCAGATCAAAAAGGATCATGCCGGCTTCTACTGCCAATGGCAAGGCTGCACAAGACACACCACATTTAGTCAACGCAGTAAGCTGGAGCGCCACATGCAAGTCCACACTGGATGTAAGTCAACCCCACCCGCACTCATGCACTCGTCCTGCAGGGACTGACTTTTTATAAAGACAAACCTGTTCAATGCCATATTTGCGGTGCATCGCTGTCTGCCAAGCAGTCTCTCGAGCAGCACATGCGCACACACACTGGCGAGAAGCCTTGGATTTGCTCCTTTGATGGCTGTAACCAGTCCTTCAAGCAACAGAGTGCGTTGACAATGCACGAGCGTACGCACACTGGCGCGAAGCCTTTGCAATGTGACATTTGCGGCAAAAAGTTTGGTGAATCCTCCAATCTTTCCAAGCATCGTCGCATCCACAACATTCGCGGCTCCCACGTCTGCGAAATCTGCGGCAAGGACTTTCACAGACTTGACCAGCTTCGCCGACACATGGGCACCAACCACAAGGACAAGCCGGAAGAGGTCAGCAAGATTCTCAGTCGCGTCAAGACTGGTAGGATATCCAAGCCCATCGCCTCGGTCATGTCCAGCGACGGCCTTGGTGACTTTGAGCACCCTGACATGATGCAGGCCGTCTAAAGTGGCGTCGAGCTGTGCAGTTTTATGTTTGATCAAAACGTACATGGATACATATGAAGTTGTTATTTCTTCTTGGTCTTGTTTTGCTATTTCTGTGGGTGGCGTTGATTGGGGAACTGGGTGGTTGCTGGCGCACGGTTTTTTGCATGAACAATCTCTGAGGCATCGTATCATTATAGTCAGACAGCATTGGGCCTCGCGAGGCATACGAAACTCATGATAGACGAAGGAACAGTGACAAACGAGCAAGATCTCGAGACTGGTTATTCACAAACCCTCTTCAGCTGCACGTGAATCATATGAGTGTAAAATTGGCCTAGACTGGCCAAAGTCAAGTACCACTGTCTAGGAAAATACGAGAGTAGACGACGTCCCCGCGATGCCTTCTGTGGGGTGGTTTCGACTACGTTGGTATCATGAATGGTAGGTTCCATTAGAGCATTCATACATCACGCAGATAAACAGGGACACTAGTTTGGTTGGATCATGACCTCATTTTTTTTCCTTTTATTTTGTACTTGCAGACTTGTCTTGTTATGCCTAGCAAGCCCAAGGGCCCGACAGAAACATGATGTCCCAATTGCTGCAGGCCCCAGTTTGTCTTTCCCGTCCGCCTTCCAAGATACAAAGGAGACTGCTCAAGGTTCCTGTTAAAGACCCCAAGAAGCCATGCGATGCTCAAGTTTCGATGTGTCTCTTTTCCCCGTATCCTTCTTGCGTGGAAAAGGACAAGATCAAAAGGATACGCCACGCCGTGTCCCCGTTCTCGAATATAACAAAAGATGATCTTCGCCGAAAAGGAAAAAAATTCGTTTCCCTAAACACATCAACATCCATTATGCTGTGTTGCCCTTTTTTTTTTGCTTCCATCCTCGCTTCATGGGTACCCCGTTAAAAGAAATTTTTGTTTGTATTTCAACATGACGCTAAAAAGTTCTAAGCCTTGATGGCGAACTTGCGCTGGGGGAAGTGAGTCTCGCGCTTGGAGGCCTTTTGCAGCACGCGGGCCTTGTCCTCGGGCGATAGTCGGCGACGGATGGCGCGGGTCTGCTTGGGACGGAGGTCGAGGGGCGCGTACTTCTTGTTCTTGTAGAAGAGGCGGAGCTGGCTGCGTTGCTTGGCGTTGATGACGGTGAGGACGCGGGCAATGGACTTGCGGAGGTCGTGGCTAAGGACGAACGTGTTAGTGCCCAGGCGATTCTAAGAATGATGGTGTCGAGCGGGAGCGAGGAAACAAAAAGAAACGTACATCTTGTTGAGCTTGGAGCCGGCGGAGACGACCTTTTGGATGCGGAGCTGACCGAGGTCGGTCTTGAGCTCTCCGAGCTGCTTCATGAGGTCATCCTTGCTCTTGTCCCAGAGCTGGACGGTCTTAACCTTGGCGGACGACTAGAGAGAAATATTTGGTCAGCACTTGTGACGACGAAAGATGTTCGATTGATGCGGCGTCGAGGGGTTCGGCAGGTCTGCAGGACGGAGGAACAGAGGTTTTCCATGCGGGTTTATCAAAGCTGGCTGTGGTGGCTGTCGATGTCGTATTTCAATCCTTCGAATCCAACGTTGATCTCGGTCGCATCAATGTCGTCCAACATCATCTGTCCGTCCACATTTTGCTTTGGAAAACCTCGTCCGTCACATCCTGGCAGGCTTTTTGTCGTAATTGTGCTTGTTTTGATAGTCGTGGCCCTGTTTCCCCTCCGTCGTGGTCCTGCTGCCCGCCGTGCACGGGGTTTCTGTTTTCCCCCTCAAGGACTGGCTGCCAGGCGCCCACACGAACAAGAGTTCCGCTCGATTGTCGAAATGATGGATGACGAAATTCGCAAAGGGACGCAGTTGCTACTCACCATCTTGGATATAGGCTTCGATGGGGGTGTGCGAAGTAGTGTCGACTGAAAGTGCAGAGAGAGAGAGAGGAATACTAGGCTCGCTCGCGATGGGGATCGTATGGCGCAGGGCAGTCTACCACAAACTCTGAGAATTTTTGCCGAGAAAAAAAGTTGCCCTAGGGTTTTGCCTGTTTAGGCTGTGCCTCTTGTGGTGGACTGGGCGGCGGTGCGGGGCTTGTGGCTAATTTCTATTGGACCCGGCGGACTGTGTGCTGGACATCACGTGAGCTCCGAGGTCCAAAGCGGTCGGAAGAAGTTCTGCCGGTCCGCAACCGTAAAGAGCTTAGCGTAGCTCTGAAAGCCGGCTAGGCTGGTTACGGGTTGAACTGCTGGTCAACCGGCTCAGGGAGTGCGGACCCAGTTTCATCATCGTCATTCCTGCTTTGCTCGTCTTGCCAAATCCTAGGCCGTCCTTTCTACTTTGATTTTCCCGGCTCCCAAAAGGCACACGCGACGCGCTACAGATCTCGAACCGGTTGTCATGGCCGCACCATCAGGAAACGCTGGCTGGGCCCAGCTCCGTCAACAGGCCCGAACACTAGAGACGCAGGTGAGGATGGATCTCCCGAGAGCCCGTTGCGATCAGAGGAAACCTAACGATTGCATATTCAGACCGAGAGCTTATTCCACACGTATTCGCAATTCTCAGCAGCCACATCGATCCCCCCCAAACCGACACAAGAGGAGCGCACCGCAGAGACCAAGATTGAGGAGCTGCTAGAAAAGGTACGGCCGTAACTCGTCCCATCCGCCACTCAAGCACGACCAAGACTGACCACGGACAGCGCGAATCCACCATCAGCCAGCTCGCCCGCCTGCTCGACTCGGAAGCGGCGCTCACGTCGTCGGCGCTCAAGCAAAACAACCTCGCGCTGCTGCGGGAGAAGCTGTCGGCGCACAAAAAGGACCTCGGGCGGCTGCGCGCCAACCTGCAGCACGCGCGCGACCGCGCCAACCTCCTCACCAACGTGCGCTCCGACATTGACGAGTACCGCGCCAACAACCCGGCCGCCGCCGAGGCCGAGTACATGCTCGACGAGCGCCGCCGCATCGACAACAGCCACGGCATGGCCGACAGCGTGCTCAGCCAGGCGTACGCCGTCAACGACAGCTTCTTGGTGCAGCGCGATACGCTCGCCAGCATCCAGCGCCGCATCACGGGCGCCGCGAGCCAGGTGCCCGGCATCAACACGCTGATTGGCCGGATATCGGCCAAGAAGCGGCGGGACGGCATCATCATGGGCAGCTTCATTGCCTTTTGCTTTGTGTTTTTCTGGTTCTTCTTGTAAAAGGGGGCAGAATGGCGGGAACTTGTTATACAAATTGCACTGGACGGCGTTATTGGAATAGTGTTTTCAAGGGGTATCAGCGTATTGTTTTACATCTATATGCTATTTGGGGGTTTGATTGTCTAATATAATGTACAATGACGTTTAAACGTGCTCCGTCATGTCGATGCTTCAGCCTTGTCGGCAGCCCGCTTCTCTACAAGATCTTTGATGGCCTTTCTTCCCAGCACCGGCTCGCGGGCCGTCGAGGGCAGCAGAGCCTCGGCCTTGATGCCCTCGACCAGCCGAACCAGGCCACGGTTCAGACCCTCCATCTCCTCTGGGCTGCTATTCCCGCTCGCCGCCCAGCGGACGCGGCAGTGCTGGTCCACGAGGTACGTGTAGCCGACCTTTGTGTTGAGCAGGCCGATGCACTCGCGGATATGGTCGGTGATGCCGCGGCGCACGAGCAGGTACTTGCCCCACTCGTGCTCCGGGAAGCGCTTGCGCAGCGAGCCCATGAAGAGCTTGATGAGCCAGGCCTTGCCCGCATTGTCCTCGTAGTTGACGCGCACCACCTGCGCCAGGCCGTCGCGGCCGCCGTGCTGCTTCAGAATGTTCTGCAGTTCCGGGTTGGCCTTGGCCGTGGTGAAGCTGTCGGTCTGCGCCTCGGCCCACTGGCTGCTGAAGATGGACACGACGGTCGCCTTGCCGGTCAGAAGCGGCGTGGTGTCGCGGGGCTCCTTGTCGGTCTTGAGGATCGTCTGGCCGTAGAGATTGGGGAAGAAGAGGGAGAACTCGGCCTTGAAGAGCCGGGGCGGGGCGATGAAGGATTTGCCGTCGTGGTACTTGAGGTTATTCCAGTCGCGAAAGTATGGTCGTGACAGTTGGGCGGTGCTGATTTTCCTGTTAGCCTTGCGCCAATCCCACCCGTGCGTGGTCTTCGGAGTCGAGGTGTCACGACGTACAGCTCTCTTCGCCGCGCCAGATGCTTGTCCCAGTTGGAAAAGTCCTTTTTGCGCTGCTCGCGCGTGCGGTCGTCGATGCCCGTGTTCTCGCCGGGCCGCGGCGGCAGCGGCATGCCAATCGGGCGCGGCAGCGGCTTGGGCGTGAAGACGCCCTCGTAGCGCTTGCCGTAGCTGCGGGGCGCCTCGATGGCCGGGCCGGTGAGGTCGCTCTGGGGGTCCATGGACGCGCCCGCGGCCGGCTTCTCGGTGCGCGGTCCCAGAGGCGCGCCCGTGGCCGTGAAACCGCGGTGCCCCCGGCAGCGGGCGCATATCGGGGGGATTGAGTCGAATCGCGGTGGGAGGCGTCTCGTGATGCCGCGGGCGGCGGTCAGGCCTATACGTCGTGATGACATGGCTTAGGGGGTGTGGTGGCGCTGCTCATTGAAAGTTGGAAGATGGCCAAAACGGCTCGTCGAGGAGTTGACGTTTTTTTTCTGGGTACCTGGGTACCTGACCGGAAAGCGGGCCGGCTGGCGGCATACAGAGAGGTTCGGTGGTGATTCAAAAATGACATATTCTTAGCTTCTTCTTTTATTGTTATTATCTTCTATTTCTTATTTTCTTTATGATTTTTTTTGTCTTGTTTTCGTTATTCCTTTCTCCCCCTCAGAAATCATGTTCTATAACCGGCCGGACTTGCTTGTTGGCCATTTCGTTCTCCCTTGTATGGCTCCCATGATATTCAATCAGGTCATAACCAATGCTCAGCTACTGTGACTTGTCCTTTTAAACGGTGATATTACCTAGATAACTTTTCTTCCTTTTGTCTCCTAGTAAACTTGCAAACTAAAATCCACCTAGAGTCCTGTTGGTTCGAAGGATTTGGTACCAACAGTGGGCCAGGGCACGTTGTCCGGCTCGCCGCCAGTTCTGCCATAGCTTCTTTCTATATTGCCACGTTTTCGTGTTTTCATAGTCAGAAAGTTTGTGTTCCTCGATTAATGATTGAAATAGAAAATTACCTAAGCACTTCTCTCCGGTACTCAACCCATCTGCCCTCCAGCGGGCTTCGGCGGGCACTCTCGCTGCCGCCGCGGCTTAAGCCAGCTGTAGCGTGGCGTCGGTGCCCCAGACTCGGCTATCCGCGGGACCCTCTTCCCCATCACCAACAATGCCGACTGAATGCGTCCTTGTCTTGAGCCGCGCAACAACTTATTCATCTGCCCGCAATTGGTCGCTTTCTCTCTTTCCTCTGCTTCCAATATCCGGGTTCCTCACATTGTTTCCTTTTTTTCCCCAACCATCCCACCGCAGAAGAAGCATCATGTTCCTACAGCGTGGATCGAGAGCGCTCCGCTCGCAATGGGGAACCTCCAAGGCCGTCAGCCGCGTCGCAATGGGCAAATCACCACAATCCGGGGTCCCCAGATGGTTTTCCGAGTCCAGACGCCTATATGTGGTCAAGCCAGTGCTACTAGCAGATATCGGTGAAGGTATGGACATGTCATTTTTCAATCGATCTAGCTATTATCTTTTTCTCTTGGCCCAATCCTTGGTCGTATTTTTTTGTTGACATCTGCTAACCACCCCGCCCTTCAAACAGGCATTGTCGAATGCGAGGTCATCCAGTGGTTCGTCGAGCCCGGCGCCCGCGTCGAGGAGTTTTCCCCGCTCTGTGAGGTCCAGAGCGACAAGGCCTCGGTCGAAATCACCTCGCGCTTCACCGGCACCGTCAAGAAGCTCTACTACGAGGCCGGCGAGATGGCCAAGGTCGGCAAGCCCTTTGTGGACATTGACATCCAAGGCAGCGCCGCGGAGGAGGAGGCACCCCCGGCCGGAGAGGAAGCGCCGGTCATCTCAGCGCCGACCGAAGCACAAGCCCCGGCCCCTACGCCCGTCTCTGCACCTGCTGAATCGCCGGCCGTGCCCAAGCAAAAGGGCAAGAGCGCCTCCATCTCCACGCCCGCCGTCCGCCACCTCTCCAAGGAGCTCGGCGTAGATATCAGCGACATTTACGGCACCGGTCGGGATGGTCGCGTCACCAAGGAGGACATACTCAAGTTTGTTCAGGGCAAGGACGCCGCGGCTGGCAGCCCGGCCCCGACCGCGGCCCCGACCAACCCGTCCGTACAGATGGAGACGCGACAGCCGCTCACGCCGACACAGCAGATGATGTTCAAGACCATGTCGCGGTCCCTGACCATTCCGCACTTTCTCTACGCCGACGAGGTCGACTTTTCCGACCTCGTCCGTCTGCGCGGCCGCCTCAACAAGGTGCTCGCCAAGGCGCCACACGACGGGCAGCTCGCCAAGCTGTCGTACCTGCCCTTTATCATCAAGGCCGTGTCGCTGGCGCTGTACCAGTTCCCGATCCTCAACGCGCGCGTCGAGCTCGACGCCGCGGCCGCCAACAAGCCTACCCTCGTCATGCGCGCCCAGCACAACATTGGCGTCGCCATGGACGCCCCGCAGGGCCTCGTCGTGCCCGTCATCAAAGACGTGGGCGCGCTCAACATTGTCGCCATCGCGGCCGAGCTCCACCGCCTGCAGGCGCTGGCGCAGCAGGGCAAGCTCGCGCCGGCGGACATGGCCGGCGGCACCATCACCGTCTCCAACATTGGCAACATTGGCGGCACCTACCTGAGCCCCGTCATTGTCGAGCGCGAGGTCGCCATCCTCGGCATCGGCCGCATGCGCACCGTCCCCGCCTTTGACGAGCACGATAACATTGTCAAGAAGCAGATTTGCAACTTTAGTTGGAGTGCCGATCACCGCGTCGTCGATGGCGCCACCATGGCCCGCGCCGCCGACGTAGTCCGCAGCGTGGTGGAGGAGCCGGACGTCATGGTCATGCACCTCCGGTAAAGGCGAAAATGAAGAAGAAAAACGGAAAAAAAGTATACTGCATACGGAGTTACATCTAGCGAGTCTTTTTTCGATTTAATGACTGGTTGAGTTTTGGTTCTCTCTTCATTCGATTACACATTCAGTTACCTATACAGGGCTTGCCAGGAGATGCAAGCCAACGACACCACCTGAGAAAGAGGGAGCAGCCCACGCTATTTACCATGCCAGTGGTCTAGACGAGGACGAACGCCCACCTACTCCGCGAGGAGAAAGAGGAAGAGAGTAGTCATGTACTGGTAACACAATCCAGAGCGAGGTGTGAATTTTGGTTTTTCTTTTTCTCATGTTAGACGAGGCTACCGCCGTTTTGGATACATGAGGGACCGGAGCCCAAACAACCTGGCCCAGCCGCTCACGCCACCCGTGTGCCCAGCCGCCATGCATGCAAGCTGTCGGTGCAAGGGTGCGAAGCTGGGGCTGGGAAGAAGCGGTGCAGGAAGAAGCGGTGCAGGAAGGTCCGGAAAGTCTCCGGTTGGGACGACGAGAGATTGTTCCGCGGGGGGTTGCCCGCGTCCCACGTATGACCTATAGAATAGTTGCAAATGATGTACAAATTTATACGGATACGCGTCAGGGTCTTCATGACTCGGCCGGGCTCCCATGCACCATTCGGCAAGTGTTCTAGTCGTATGCTTTGACCACGTTGGCAGGGGCGATGGACAATCACACTGCATTCCCGCCCTGTGATGAGATAATGCACATGCGCATCAAGCGGGTACCCCAAAACACATGGCCACCTTTGGAGGCATGTCCCATCTGCAATCTGCATAGTACAACTGATAGAGGGGTACTCTGTATTTGCCCCCAGCATCGACAGAAGTGAGGCGGATTAGACATGTCCATTTCTAGACAAAAGGCGAGAAAGGAGAAAGTCTCTAGTCCGTGGTCGCCCACGTCTTGTCTATTCATTGTCTAGCGTCCGTCTACTAATCAACAAGGACAAGGAAAAAGTAAACATGAAAGAAAGAACAGAGATACAAGGCTGCCAAGACAATAATAATAATAAAAGTGCATTGTCAAACTGCTGTCCTGCTGCCAAGCCCAGTCCTGCTTTCTGTAGGATGCGAAAGAAAGGGAAAAAAATGTACGAATATGTCCAGGCGCAGCCTAGACATATTAATGTGAGACATGGTGACGGCAGAAGCGTGCCATCCGCTGCACCTCACCCGCCCCCTGTCTCCCTGTCTTTCTACCTTATCAGTAATGCAAGCTCGATAATCGCGCAGGGTTGATTTCAAAAGATGAATCACTTGGACGAGAAAAAGGAAGAAAAAAAAGAGTAAATAGGGACATGCGCTGTGTACATCCAGTACCGACCTGCCGCTAGCACGGGGGGTAGCATGTTGTTGGCTCGTCAGGCGCTCTCTGCGTCCATCACCTCATGAACTTGAGCCAGCGCATCTTGCTTGACTTCCTCAATCGATCGGCTGACATCAATGCTGAAGACATCCTTCTCGTCCTCGGCCGGCCGCTCCAAGATGTCAAACTGGCTTTGGACCATGCTAGCCCCCATGTAGTGGCCCTGGCGCGCAGAGACTCGTTGCAGAAGCACTTGCTCCGGTGCATCCAGATATATGAAGTGAATCAAAATGTTGCTGTTATAGTACGCCGCGACGCGGATCACGTCTCTGTACTTGCGCTTCAGTGCGGAGCATGTCACAACGACGCCGCGCGCTCCGTCGGCGAGCCGGCGCATCGACTCATCGCGCAGCTGCGTGAGCCAGTCCCATCTGTCTGCGTCCGTCAACGGTACGCCTGTTCTCATCTTTTCCACATTGGCCGCCGTATGGTACTGTTTAGGTCGGTTAGCCACCTCTCAACAAAACGACGGGGCAGTCTGACTTACGGAATCGCCTTCAATGTAGGGCAACCCGTTGGCATCCGCAATGTGTTCCGCAATGGTAGTCTTGCCACATCCAGCGGGACCTGTGACAAGCCAAATATGATTATGTTGGGCTGGCTGGCCCTGGCCCGCGGCAGAAGCGACGGAGCCCATATGAGAGGCGCTTGATTGAGTAGCGGAACCGGTGATGCTCGGTGGTAATGAAGTCGTCAGTGGCGCAGGCGAGGTAGTGTCTTGCCCTTTGGCGGCAATTGTAATTGCGGCGTCGTAGGATAGCATTTTCAGCAAGAAGGAGCGACGCTTGGGTAGCGGGAGAGCAATGGTAACTATATAGGTACCTAGGTAGCAGCCGGCAAGTACTATGCGACGAGAACGTTGAAAGCGGCAGTCGGTGGTAAGCTACACAAGAGTATCGTCAGGCTGAGGCTTCCTAGTCGTGTATGTATATGTATGATCGACGCTAGAACTAATGCGTGCGTTCGGTCGTCCGGGGCGAAGTTTGGCAAAAGGTGTTGAGAAAGAGTTGACAGGGTAAAAAATTGCCGAGCTGCGTTTTGTAAGGGACGGAACGGCGCTAGAACTCGCGACCGTTGGCTCCCTTTTGATCTTTCTTCGTCCACCCAACCCAGTCCGCCAAGGGGGTGAGGGAAAACCTTGCACCTTGGTCACTTGTTACCAAAGCTGGGGATCCCCCTCCTGCTGGTTGGGCAATCTGGGTCTTGTCACTGTGGCGGGTCTCATGGTGTGCCTAACAACTCCGTGTGAGTGGGCTTTCCGGTTAACTAATTGAGACGAGCGAGATGGGCCATGCCAATGTCAATCTGCTCTGTTCTTTACCCTCTGATTCGCTCTCGGGGAACAACCTTCCATGCTCAACCGGCTCCCCGGGACGTGCGTCCGGCAGTTTTAGTGTCGAGTGCTTCGTCTGCTTCATCTGGCAGTGTACGGCGAAAGCTGCCTCTTTGGGCGCGGAAGAGGGCCGGGGCTTCCTGGAATTAGCTTCGTCCAGGAAATTCATGGTTCCACAGGCATATTACACGCCGAGCGATACCGGAGTTTCTAGAACAGCAACGAGCCGGTCGCAGGACTTGCCAGTCTTTATCCATATCAGACGGTCAGTCCCGGCTCGGGCCGATGGGATGGGATCTCTCCTTTCATCGCGATAGGATGTGCCCCAAACAGTCAAAGGTCAAGACCTGGCCGGGTCATGGCACATAGAGTGAGGCAGGCAGGGGTAGTGATGATTGTGTCATTCTGCGCCCAACGACCACGGGACAGGGGTGAAGCGGCCGGGGTCCGTAACCTGACCCAGAAATTAACTATTCGTTGCACATATTTTGGGCATGTGCCGAGACGCGGTCTGTTCCACGAACAACATTCGAGGTGTAGTCGTTCGAGCAGACGCACACAAGCCGCCAATCTTGTGAAATGCCGACAACGTTGTCACTATGTTTCGTCCGCAGCCAAGCAACTGCAACCAGCCGATCGCTACAGGTGCAATAACTCGTATCCTCGTTGGGCAAGTCACTTGCGTGGGGGCGTCAGTGGCTATGTGGTCTAGCAATCGGTCTGTCAGGGGCCTTCAAAGGCCAGCTAACCCGCGCGCTAAAGCGGCTATGGATGATTGACCATGCATATTTCGATCGGATATATGCACGAGATGGCGCTATTGTTTGAGTTCCGGGCTTAGGCATGTTGCGGGGACTGCGTGTGCCGTCGGCGACCCTGTCAATCAAGTCAGAGCCGCATAGCTACCTAGGTAGGTATTGGAAGTATCAGCCACGTACCATCAAGAGCTGCGTTCGAAGCGGCGAATTGGGCTAAGCCTTGGTGGTTGATCCACGGGTTCTATTTGTATTTGTCTGTTGTTGAGGTCGTCAAGTTGTGTTTGCCAGCGTGTGCTACAAATCAGCGAAGTAAGCTGGGCGCAACCTGCCTACCCTGTATTAAAGTATGGATTTCAACATGTTACCACACGTGTCCCCAAAGACGTAGTTACTATTTCTTTCTGCAAGGCTCGAGTGGGGCATTGAAGACCTTGGAGCCGACTTCTTAGCTTTCTTAGCTTACTTATTCCGAGCATTGATTTGCCCAAGCTGCAAGACATCACTGATGAATGGTGAGTAGGTAACTATGAACTGATGTGTCATTGAATTTTGGAGACGATGTGCTAGTCGTATCTACCCAGCTTTGGGTAGCTAGGTGCCAAATTACAGATTATGACAGTGAGAACCAATGGAATGCATACTGTCGATACTCCATCCGATATAGTTGTTCTACCACTAATTCTGGTCGGTCCATACCTACGCGAGTGGGGGGTGTTTTCTAATATAGGTTAGTCCACATATTAAAAAGGAAATTATGCTATATAGGCTAGGGCATTATAATATAGGTAAATTTTATATTAAAAAAAAAATATTATAAAATATAGAAAAGATACTTCTTTTTTTTAAAGTATTTTATAAAATTATAAAGTATAGTAAAATAGAAATAGTAGAATAATAAAGTATATTATAAATTAAGCTATATTAAGATTTAGTTATATTAAAAATAGAGTATATTAGTTCTAAAGTACTTAGACTTTTAACCTTACTAATATAGAAGGTATATCTAAATTATAGCTATATTAGAACCTAGTATATTAAGATATAGGCATTTCTTTTAGTATATATATATAATATAGAGTATATATTATTTTAAGTATACTATATAAGCTAAGATCTATATTCTTTATATTAGGTATTATAGAAGAAAGCTATTATAGATTTATAAGACTAGCTTTTATTAAAAATATTAAATTACTATATACTACTCTATTTAATATAATATATATATTTCTACTCCTATCCTTCTATATAGCTATTTTTATAATATAATCTACCTATTAACCTATTTTATTATTACTTTATTAGCTTTACTTATTATATCCTAACTAGAGAGGTTAGAAAGATAGTAAAGAGCTTAGTTTTAGTAGTAGCTATTAGTATTATTAAGCTTTAGGTATCTTTTATTATAAAACCTATATATAGATTATATATATATATAGATAGTAAGGGATAGTAAAAACTCTATTTATTATAAGACCTATTAAAATATTAGTAGCTTAGAAGGTATAAGGAGAAAGAAAGGTAGTACTTATAGTAAAGGTAGACTTCTTACTAATATAAGGTAGTTTTATCTATCTTATAATTAGTTTTTTAGTATTTAAAATATTTAATATCTATATCTTATTAAAGTAGTATAAAAATATAATAAGTAAACTAAGGTAAGCCTAATAAATAATACTAATTAGTTTATTTCTCTATTTAATTTAAAGGACTTTATAATAAGAGAAGAAAGTAAATATAAACCTAGTAATAAGCTAAAAAAAGTTAGGGGGATAAGAGTAATAAAGTAGAAGTATAGGAAGGTAAGTAAGAGACTTAAAGGGATAGGGATAGATAAGGATAGGGATAAGAGTAAGTAGTATAGGATAAGTAGTAATAAAGGGAGTAATAAACCTAGGAAGAGATTAGTAAGTAGTAAAAGTATAAAGAGTATATAGTAAGCACTTAGTCTAGGTCTAGTAGCTCTTCTTTAATATTAAATACTACTATATATTCTTAGATATTAAGGTCTAACTACTTAAAAATACCTAGTAAGATAATACTTTACTATATATATTCTATATTAAGAGCTAGTTTAAGACTATATATTATAAAGGTAAGTAAGATTAAAAAGCCTTAAATATATTAAACCTAGATAACTATAAATTAATATTATAAAGGGAAAGTAAACTTTAACTTACTAAATAGCTATAATTAATAATAAATATTAGGCTTAGTATATTTAATTTAATAGGTACCTAAATACCTTAGTTAATTTATATATTTTTATACTTTTTATCCTTATTATTATAATAGTTAAAGCTAATTTTATTCTTATTAATAGGATTATCTAACTTACCTCTTTATATTACCTACTTATTAATATAAGTAGAGGTTTACTAACTATATTAAATATATATTTATTAATATAGTAGTATTTAGCTAAGTAGCTTTAAGTTATCTATAGAAAATCTATAGTAAATATTAAATAAGATATATCTTATATTTAGATCCCTTCTCTTAGTCTTTAGATGTATTTTTAAGGTAAGGATAATAATATAGGATAAATATAGAATATTTAACTAACCTAGTTATACCTAGTAAGAGGTAGTAGTTTTATCTTACTATATATTAAAGAATATATAGTATAGTACTAATATAGGTACCTTAGATAGGTTTTAGTAGGATATAATCCTTAATAATATTACTTTATAGGTACTAAATACTTCTATTATCTTACTACTTAATTTAATAGTTTATAATTATTAGCTATCTAACCTAAGCTATAGTAAGTAATAATAGGATAATAATTAGTACCTAGATTCTATATTAATAACTAGAATTATACTTAATATATATATTACTACTTCTCTAAATAGTATATTTATATAGTTAGCCTAACTTAACTAGGCCTTTAATACTAACATGATATTAAAGTATTAGTATATATAAACCTAGTATTACTTATAGAGAGATAAATAGTTTTATATAATATATTTAAGGGGGTACTATATATCTATATTACTAATCTTAATATAATAAAGAAAAGTAGAGGATAATAAGCTAGGTAGATAAATATACTAATTTAAGGGATATATAGGTATTTACTATTCTAAGATAAATAGATAATACTACTACCTACTTTAATATTTATAGCTATTAAATATAATAGTAAATACCTAGGTAGGGTTAAAGTAGTTTAGATCTACCTTTTAGCTCTTCTTTAATAGTAATAAATAGATAATAACTACTTCTATTTTATATTAGTAATACTAATAAGGGTAGATAATAAGATAGCTTAGGAGGATTAGTATTTTATAGATAGAAAATTTATAGGGGCCTAAGTATAATAAGTAGGAGAATCTTATAGCTACTATACTAGCTATTTACTATATTTACTATAGAGTTAGTAAGTAATTATAAGGTAGGACCTACTTACCTAATATAAATTACCTATACTATATACTTCTAATATATACTACCTTTAAATACCCTAAAGGTCTTATTTTATCTATATTTCTTTATTTCTAACTTATTAAATAAATACTAAGGAAGTAAGAATAAAGAATATAGTATAGAAATAATTACCTATACTTCTTACTTTATATATTTTTACTTTCCCTATATATAAACTTTAAATCTATATTATAAGTTATTACTTATACTAACTTATCTAGATCTATATATATATTTAGTACTAATATATAGCTTTTTATTAAAGTAATTATTTTTTATAGTATTACTAACCTTTAAGGTAAAATATAATAAATATCCCTTCTAGGTAAGCTTCTATCTAATAATCTTAACTAAAGTATATATTATTTAGGATATAGATAAACCTCTTATCTACCTATAGTACTATCTATACCTTCTATAGTAAGACCTCTAGAAGCCTAATAATTTTCTACTAGTTCTCCTTCTTATAAATTAGGACCTTTAAAATAAATTCCTTTTTACTATATAGATTATAGTAAATTAAATTAAGATAGAGGAAGATATACTTAGTAACTAACTAACTATAAATAAGTATTCTAAGGATATAAGTAAATTAAGAGTTAATAGTAATAAAATTACTAATAGAAAGTATTATTTAAACTCTATCCCTATATAAGAAAAGAAAAAAGGTTAATACTAAGTATATACTAGAAAAGAAAAGGTAAGGCGCCTTAAGGTATATATAATAATATAAAAAAGACCTTATTATACTATTAAATAGTATAACTACCTAAATTACTAATATAGCTTATATTATATATTTACTAGTATACCTATAGGAGCTATTATTTAGTAAGGTAGCTACTAATAAGAAGTCTAGGACTATATAAACTAAGAAAATTTTCCTTATTACTATAGTATAGAGTATGCTTTATAGAATATATAACTACTATATTATATATCTTTTCACTACCTACTATTATCTCCTTTCTTAATA